GGGGCGCCTGGGCCCGCCTTGCTCGCCCGCACTGGGCTCCTCGCGGCCGCCCTCGCCGCCCCCGCTGCTGGGCTACAGCCCGCGGCGCCGCTCTCTCCACCTGCCCTCGTGCCTCGCGCACACGTGGCGCCGGCTCAGCGAGCCGCCCACCAGGGCCGTGAAGCCCAGGGTGCGCCAGCCGTTCCACCGGCCTCCCAGCGCCGGGGCTTGGCCGGCCGCTGCGGCTGCTCCGGAGCGCCGGGAGAGCCCACGTGAGCCCGAGGACTCGGAGACACTCTGGACGGTGCCCCCGCTGGCCCCCAGCTGGGACGTGGACATGCCTCCCACCCAGCACCCACCCTCACCCTGGCGAGGAGGTGTGGGCAGTCGGCGCGGCTTTTCCAGGCCACCACCTGTACCCGAAAACCCCTTCCTCCAGCACGTGGGCCCTGAGCCATCGCCTGCTCCCCAGCTACAGGGCCCAGCTTCTGACTCGACCAGTGTCTTCCTGGGTAGACACCACGACCCGGGGCCTGGACAGCTGGCCGAATCGGCTGGCCCGAGCCCCAAAAAGCCTGAAGAAGAGGCCACCTCGGAGGACCCCCAGATACCAGCAGAGACTGAGGTCCTGACCCCAACACCCCCCAAGGATCCCTCCCCAGAACAGAAGACACTAAGGCTTAGTCTCTCCCACCCACTGGCCTCGTGTGACTGGAAGAGGTCCACGTGGCCGCCGTGGCGCCACTGGGGGACCATGCCCAGTGCCCCAGCCCCCTTGGTGCCCTCTGGGGCCCCGGGGCCCCTGCCCAAGGTGGGTGAGCGGTGCCAGGCAGGCCTGGGGCGTTTTGCCGTGGTCATGCCTCAGGTGCAAAAGCTGAGCTCTTTCCAGCGCATTGGTCTTGCCACCCTGCAGCCCCCCATCCAGCCCACCCAGGAGCCAGAGCCCCACCCCAAGCCAAAAGCCTGGAGTCTGCTCTGGTCACACAGCCGCCTGCTGCCAGGGAAGGCCCACCAACCCTGGCCACAGGTACACAACCACCACCTGTCCTGCTGCCTGGGCCCTGGAGCTGCCTACCTGCCCCCCGGGGACCCCTGGGAAGAGGTTGGCCCCAAAAGCTGGTGGAACAAGGTATGGGGGCGCAGGTCAGAGGGAGGGCTTGGGGTCTGTTCTGGGAAACAGGGCAGGAGACAGCCTCAGGACTTCAGTGAGCTGCTGCCTGCTTGGGCCTCAGTCTTCACATCTGTAACTTGGGGAGAGCAGCCTGGGGCTCCCAGAGCCTCTGGAGGGTTGAACAAGGGGATGCTCAGCACAAGCAGGCACAGGACAGGTCACTCTGAGGAAGGGATCTTGTCCAGCCTGGTCTCTGAGCAGCCCTGTCCTGGTCCAGTCTGGATGGCATTTCCATCCCCAGCTGCCCTTCAGAGGTTTTGGCTGAGTGCAACACCACAGTACTGGCCTGTCCACCCTGGCCCACTCCCACAGTGATGTCCATGTTGGTTCTCTTGCCTACCACTGACCCTCCCCAAGATTGGAGTCTTCTCTCTCTTTGGGGCTCCTGCATGAGGGCAGTCCCCTGGCCTGCAGGATTCTGGACTATCCGAGGGTGAGGGGCTCAGAAACCAAACTTCCAGCTCTTCATTGCACAGTGGGGAAGCCCAGGCCCAGAAGGTCACACAGTGGATCAAGGCTAAGCCAGGAGTTTCCCTGGACCCACTGTGGGGTGCAGGGCAGGCAGCTTGTCTGAGGGGTGCCAAACCTGTGCCTGGCCACCACGGTCATGGCGGAACACGAGCTCAGTGCCAAGTGGCCGTCAGCGGAGGGGGTTGGTCACTGGAGCCTCCCCTGGGACGCCTGGGGTGGGCGGGGCACGCAGGGGTGGCTGGTGTTTCTCAGCCTCTGCAGGAGTGTCCCGGGGAGCGGGCAGCCAGCCGGGCCCGGCAATGGCGACCGGGGCAGCCTGGCTGCTGGGGGGCCCCTGGCCCCGGCGGCGGGTGCCCCGTGCCGTGTGGGCCGCAGCATTGCGGGAGCGGGGCGCAGGGCGCCCAGGGGTGAGGGGCAAGGATGCCTGGGCCCTCCTCACCCTGGAATACGTGAGTGGCTGAATTATTTAGGGTCTGCAGCCACTGGCGCACATGGGCAGACGGGTGGGCAGGAGGCCAGGGCCTCAAGGGTGATACTCGCTGTGCCCTACTTAGCACACAGAGCTCCCTCCTGGTGTTCTCTTTCCTCACCTGCTCAGGGAGGGGTGCGGGCTGGATCTGAGCAGCTGGTAAGGGTACACACGTGCTCGCAGTCATGCGGGTCACCCCAGGCTTGTGTGCCTGGGACATGTGCTTGGGCGAACTATAGCCAAGCAAGGAAAGTACGTGTGTGTGCGCGCCAAGGTCTGAGCAGACACGGCATCCATGGGGTCACACATGTGCACATAGATGGGCACAGTGGAAATCCTGCAGCCCAAAAGTGGCATCGGGACTTTTGCTTCGAGACCCCCCAATTGTGGGGAGAGCCCCAGCTGTGAAATGGATGTTGAGCGTGTGTGAGCAGGCTCACAGGCCTGCATGCGTGTCCACAGGCATCTTGTATCTGTGTGTGGGAGTTGTATGAGTTGCAAATACCATTGTGTATAGGTCTGTGCGTGTGGGTCTACATGTTTGCCCCGAGCTGGGCACAGGTGCTGAATGGGACAGTCTCGGTGTTGGCCCTCCTGGAGACCCCATGCACCAAGATACAGATGTTCCTCATGCTGTCACATAAGCAGAGACTTGGGGTCCACCCTGGGGAAGGGTGTCAGCGCTGGGAGAGCATGAGGTTGGGAGGGCTTCAGGCAAATCAGAGGGGGCAGTGCCCATGTGCGTGTGCTCATCCCCCCGGGTCAGGACACTTGGAAACACGTGGGAGCGCCCCCCGCAGGGCACGTGTGGACAGAGGGCAGGCAGGTGTGTGTCCCTGTGAATAAGGGTTCCATGCAGGCTCCACGGGCCATGGCATTCGGAGGCAAGGAGTTCTGCAGGACCCACCAGGCCTGGCCTTAAGGTTCCCTCCTGCTCAACGGGGGCAGGTCCCGGTCTTGTCCAAGCCAGAGGGCTGTGCACGGGCGCCCTCCCAGCGGGCCGACCATGGACTCTCTCTTGCAGATGCACTCCATCCGCAACCTGCCGTCCTCGAGGTTCCGAGAGCAGCACCGGGAGGAGGGTGTAGAGGACATGACCCAACTGGAGTGAGTGGGCGGGGCGGTGGGGTCAGTGAGGGGTCGCCTCGGGGTGGTCACACTCCTGGCCAGAGAGCCCCCTCCTCCCAGGGGTGCCTCACCTACTGGAGCATTTTCAGAGCCTCAGTTTCCTCTTCTGCAAAGTGACAGTCATGCAGTGTCATAGAAGCCAAGTGTGTGCAAGTCACAGCTCCGTGAGTCAGACGGGGCTGGGTTCAAATCCGAGCCCCACTGCTTACCAGCTGGGGGACCTTGGGCACATCACTTTGCCTCTCTGTGCCTCAGTTTCTCATCTACGAGACAGGACTGGGGTGGCTGTTGTGAGGGTGCTGGCACGTTGGAGGTGCCTAAAATGTGAGGGCTGTGCTGGTCAGTGTCATCATCCAGTCACGGTGACTCAGCCCTCAATGTCAGCTACCTAAGAGCTTCCCCCAACCAAGTGAGGCGGGGCAGTGATTATCATACCCATCAGACATATGGAGAAACTGAGGCGCAGAGAGGTTAAGTAACTTGCCCAAGGCTTCACGGTTTGTGTCAGAGAGAGGTCTTGAATTCAGGCCTTTCTGACCAAGGCCCTGCACCAAGGGGAAAGGTGGGCTCTGACTGCCCCTTTCCATGCACTGCCAGAGACCTCCAAGAGACCACCGTGCTGGCCAACCTCCAGAACAGATTTGAACGGAACCTCATCTATGTAAGTCCTAGAGCTGGTCTGCCCTGGGCTTAGATCTGGAAGGCAGCTGCCTCCCTGCCCCCTGGGGCCACAGTGGGAAGCAGAGATTTTCCTGCTGGGCCCCAGACATGAGGCCCCTGGTTTGAACACTGGGATTTCTGTTTGAGCGTACTAGAGCCCGGAGCTCTAAATCCCAAGTCCTGAAACCCAGAGTCTTCGAGTGGTGGATGCCAGGGGCAGAGACCTGCAGACAGGGAACCGAGAAATGTGACCCCACCAGGAACCTGACGGGTACAGCTTCTGGAATCCTAGAATCCATAGACCTGGATCCCAGGATGGGAGCCCCTGGCCCAAAGTGATAGAACGGAGGCACAGAACCACAGGGCGGGAGGCAGGGCCGGAATCTCCTGGGCTCCCAGCTCCCTCCCCACTCCGGGCAGTGGAGGTGTGACCTCACTGTGAGGCAGAGGCTCCTGGAGCTGGCCAGACTATGAGTAAATGAAGTAGGCAGCAGCCAACACGACCTTGGCAGAACCGTGGCTGTGGGGCTTTGCTTCCTCCAAACTCCTCCCAGCCTCAGCCTGGTAGAATGCCTGAAATTCTACTCCCAGAGCAGATGACCCTCCAAGCTGTTAGAGGGTCCAAGGTGCGAATATGGAGGCCAGGCAGCCAGGAGCAGGGGAGGGAGGGACACAGGGCCGTGAGGCCCCGGGGGCACTGAGGCCGCTGTCTGCCCCACAGACGTATATCGGCAGCATCCTGGTGTCAGTGAACCCGTACCGAATGTTTGGAATCTACGGGCCGGAGCAGGTGCAGCAGTACAGTGGGCGCGCCCTGGGAGAGAACCCCCCGTGAGTGGCTCTGGGGCTGGGGGAGGGGACTGCCCTGGGGTCTCCTGGGTCCCTGCCTGAGCTCTGCGACTGATGGCGGTGGGCAGCTCACCTGCTCAGCCCAGCGGTCTCTCCCAGAGCCTGGCCATGGTCCCCTCTGGGTTGGAGGCCACGGTGGCTCAGACCAGGATGGGGAGCATTGCAGGAAGCATTTCCCCAAGGGGGTGGGGGTGGTGCAGGCTTGGCTGCTTGGCTGGACAGAGATGCCCCCCTGCCGGCCCCCAGGAGGTTTGGGAGCAAGGAGGCAGGGGCCGGCTCCAGTGAGCCTGCAGCCTGTCTCTCCAGGCACCTCTTTGCAATTGCAAATGTCGCCTTCGCCAAAATGCTTGATGCCAAACAGAACCAGTGCATAATCATCAGGTGAGCAGCGGGAGGCCGGGACCTGTGCGTGCGCGTGTGTGGGGGCTGTGGGGGGGAATCTCAGGGGTCAGGCCAGACCTGCGGGGGCACTGGGGAAATCACTCCACGTCCCTGGCCGGCCTGCCTGCCCATGTTCTCTTGAGTTGTGGCGGGGTTGGGGGAGCCCAGAAGAGGCAGTGAGCAGGTTGAAGCTCACTCTGCCCCTTTGCCCCGTCAGTGGAGAGAGCGGCTCTGGAAAAACTGAGGCCACGAAGCTGATTCTACGCTACCTGGCCACCATGAACCAAAAACGGGGCATCATGCAGCAGGTGAGTCTGTCTGTTGCGTGGTCTGTCTGTCTGCCCAGATTCCTCAGCTGAGCGGCCCTCGTGCTCCCCAAGAGACAAGACTCCTTGGCCCCACTTGGAGGGCGGGGAGGCTGAGCCCGGGGTTGCACAGAGAGGGCATGTAGGACTGGGGCTCCAGGGCCCCGCCAGAGCAGAGGCCACGTGGGCAAGGGGAGCCACTCCAATTCCCCTGCCTGGCCTCGCCTTCCTGCTTGTGGCTCTTGGGCGTGAAGGAGGCAGGACAGGCCTGAGTGTGGGGGAGTAGATGCTGGGGCACTGAGGAGGCCGGGCCAGGGTCTGCAAGATGAAGGTTTGCTAAGAGTGCTGAATCCTCCGAACCTGCGAGTGTTAGAACTTCAGGGAAGGTTTTCTGAGGAGCTCCTGTGAGCCAGGCAGCAACAACGCAGACCGATGAATGTTCCTGCCCCCGTAGGAATTTCATCTTAGAGGAGGATTAGAATGAAAAATGTACACAAGTAGATGACATATGTGTGAAAGGGTGGTAAGTTGTGGAGAAAAACAGTAGAGAGATGGGTGGGAAGACTTGGGGGGTTGTAATCTGAAGTGTAGTGGTCAGGGTGGGCCCTACTGAAAAGGCAAGGCAGCGACCCCTGAGGACGTCTGGGAGAAGAGCAGACAGGCAGAGGGGAGAGCAAGTGCAAAGGCCCTGGAGTGCGAGCCAGTCTGGTGTGCTCAAGGGACAGCAGAGGCAGTGTGGAGTCCAGGTGAGGGAGGACGGTGGCTTGGGCCAGGGAGGTGGCGATGGGGTTGGTGAGCACGGCTGGACCCTGGTACAGTTCAAAGGCCAGCCAGCAACTTGCTGAGGAACCAGACGGGTGTGAGAGAGGAGAACAGTCCAAGGGCAGCTCCAGGCATTCAGCCTGAGCCACAGGCAGCACAGAGATGCCATCAGCTGAGCAGCAGGGCTGCAGAAAGAAGACACCGGTGCCCTTGAGGTGTCTGCTGGGCGTCCATGCAGCAGCGCTGGGGAGGCGGCAGATACGCCACGAGCCTGGAGCTCGGGGAGCTCCAGGCGAAGGCTCCCAGCTTAGACTCCAGAACCCGACTCTGCGACTCTCTGCCCTGGGCCCATGGAGGTGTGCAGATGGCCACAGTGTCCCAGCCAAGAGTGGTCTTGGCATCAGATGGGGGCTGCTCGGCCCTCGGTGGCGAGTGGGTTGGCCCAGGCTTTGTGGTCAGGAGGGGTTGCTTCCTGGCAGGCCCCCTCTGATGCCTGTCTTGTCCTGCCACCCCTCCCATCCCAGCTTGAGGCTCCTGGCAGCCAACCAGACCATCCCTTTGCTCCAGGCAGGGTTTAAAACCTCTAAGGGTTGACTTCTGGAAAAGCCGGCTAGGTCGGCAAGCAAATGTGTGCATCAGGCCTCTCCTGTGTGTTGGGTGCCTTCAGCTATGTCATCACACCAGCGCTTCTGTGCTGCCCTGGGGGCAGGTACATTTGTGTCCATTTACAGATGGGGAAACTGAGGCCTGGGAGGGGCGATGACTTGCCCAGTGTCCCAAAGTGAGAGGATGGAGGAGCTGGGATCTGCAGGTCATAGCAGAGAGCTGCCCTGACGGGTCGGGGAGGACGTTGGAGCCATGGGACGTGGCTGGGCACACAGTAGGTGTGGATGCACTTGCCAGCGGGAACAACCGCGGGCTCATTTTCTAGCCACCGCTCGGCTCTGCTGGTGTAATCGGACAGTCTGACCTGGGGTCAGTTTTAGGCGTGTCTGGATCCAGGGTCTTAAACAATGTCCCTTGTCTTGGCTCCACCCTCGCCACGTATGGGCCTCATTCTCAACCTGTCTCCCGTCGGTCAGCAAGACGGTGCACTGTACACAGCCCACACCTCCCAGTGTGCTGGGAAGCCTCAGGGCCCCTCTCGGTGGGCTGGTTTTGGCCGTGTGTCTTCACTGGACACAGTCGTGCCTTGACGAGCCGAGTGCCTCTGGGCTGGGAATGTGACAGGGGTTCCCGGGGTGGGGGGTGCCGGATGCTGCACAGCCCAAACCACAGGCATCACCTCACCTGGGGGCCGGGCTGGATACCCCCACAGGGCCAGATGTTCAACCCGCCTGGCCCACCAGTCCTCGCCCCGGCCCCTGGCTGCGTGCCCCACCCTGTGCTGGACATAGGAACGGAGAAGCAGCCAACCTCCTCCAGGTGCCCTGAAGGGGCTCCCAGGCTGAGGGGTTGCACAGGCGAGACCCTAGGCGGACCCTGACTCACCGAGCAACCCCAGGCTGGCCCCCGCTCCTCTCTGGGCCTCAGTCTACTCCTCTAGGCAACGGGCACAGTGTTTCCTGGCCGAAACAGGACCATGGGAGTGAGCAGATGGAGGGAACCGGCACCAACCCCAGGGTGACAGTTACTGTTTCTGCAGAGACTGGGCCTCCCCTGCTTCTCCCCTAGGAGTTTATCCTGAGGAAATGCCTCAGCCAGAGAAAACGCCGTGTACACATTGTGCACGTGCTCGTCGAGGTGTGGTGATCTCCCTCTTACGGACCCTGGAATCCCTGGGCCCGTCACCTCACCTCTCCAAGTCCCGGTTTCCTGATCTGTCAACAAGGGTGGTGTTAGGACCTGCCTCCTAGGACTATGAGCAACCACGTAATGCGGGCAAAGGGGCTGCGCATGTGGGTGCTTACTGAGCAGGAGCTGTGATGAGCTATGCGCTGGGCCGCTCTGCTCACGTAAAATGCTGTTCCTTTTTGCATCCATTTAGCAGATATTTTTTGAGAGACTCCTCTGTACCAGGCCCTGTGTAGACGCTGGGACCCAGAGGTGTGCAGACAGATTCCTGCCGGTGGGGGCTGACATTCTGGTTGGGGGAGACAGACGATACGAGGAAATGAGAGAATTTGCCAATGATGCTGAGGGGTAGAGAGGAAGGGAATTCTGGTGCCCAGAGGCAGGAGTGTGCTGGGTGTCCAGGGCACAGTCAGGAGGGCTGTGGTGCTGGGCAGAGCGAGGGAGGGGAGAAGGGACGGAGATGTGGCCAGCCAGGGCTGGGCTGCGCAGGGCCTTGGAGGTCACTGCGAGGACTTGGCCTTGAGCCTGAGTGAGGTGGGGGCCGTGGGGAGAATGTGACCCAGAACAGGTTTGCAAAGGAGCCCTGGAGGGAGCAAGGCCGGAGTCAGGGAGGATGCTCCTCCAGGAGCCCAGGTGATCCATGGCCGCAGTGGCCATGGGGGTGGGGAGAAGAGGACATCCCCAGAGCCTTTTGGCAGGTGGACCCAGCAGACTTCCACTCTGGGGTCACACTGCAGTCCCCAAGCCAGACCCCTGGGGTCGCTGAGGCTTGTTCTCACCTGGTGGCTCTCCTGCCCCCCGCAGGGGCCCAAAGGGGTTGACTAGTCCCTCCATGGTCTGAGGCCTCTGCTGTCCTGGGGCGAGAGGTGGTCAGTCCTACGGGTGACCTGCTTCTGTTCTTGTTCCTCTTTCCTCCTCCTCCTTCCTGGCCACTACTGAAGATAAAGGTACTCAGTGTGTGCGTGTGTTTGCACGCTCGTGACCCTGTGAAATGCATGTGTGGATTTGCATGTGTGTGCACACTCGTGTGTGACGGCAGGAAGGGGTGTCTGAAGGCCTGTCCGTGCCGGGGGCTGCTGTGCAAGGGGCCCCGGGGCTGGTGGAGGGGTAGCTGAGGTCTGCACTTGGGGCTTGGGCAGCATGTGGTCGAGACACTGGGGAGACCCTGGGGTTCTGGGGGGAGCCCACCTCCAGTTGCCCCTCACAAAGGGCGTCCTCGGGGGGGCTCTGTGTCTGGGGAAACCTAGAGGTGGCCGTAGCCATGCTCCCCAGAACATTTCCCACGTCTTCTTTTGGGGTCCAGATCCTGGAGGCAACACCCCTCTTGGAGTCCTTCGGTAACGCCAAAACCGTCAGGAACGACAACTCCAGCCGCTTTGGGAAGTTTGTGGAGATCTTTCTGGAAGGGTAGGTGGGACAGTGGAGGAGCGCCCCAAGGCCTGCAGCTCACTCTGTGTCCTGGAGCAGCCCCTCAGAGCCAACGCCAGACACCCCCACCCCCCACCCCGTGCTTGAGCTGACTGTGCTCCCCACCTCAGGGGCGTGGTCTCTGGTGCCATAACCTCCCAGTACCTGCTCGAGAAGTCCAGGATTGTGTTTCAGGTGGGCCGGGCCCTCCCACGCCCTGTGTGTTGGAAGGGGGTTGGGGTGGGGGTGTGTGCAGATGCTCAGAGCCTGGACCCTGGCAAACGTGGCCAGGGGAATGGCCAAACGTGAAAGTAGTGAATGAATCCAGGTGTGTGTATGTGTGTAAGTGTGTAAGCGTATCCCCGCCCCTCCCCCATGCCCTCCAACCGCGTGGGCGCTTCCTTGTCCCTGGGCTTGATCCTGCCTCAGGGCCTTTGTAAGTACCATTCCTTCTACCTGGAGCACTCTTCCCCCAGACACCTGCATGGCCAAACCCCTCGCCTTCAAGTCTTCCCCGAAATGTCCCCTGCTCAGGGAGCTACCCCATTTAAACATGCAGCCCTCTCCATCCCGCCAAAACTCCCTGACCCCACCCCCTTCGCTGCGTTATTTCTCTCCGGAGCAGCGCTTCTCATCGCCTGAAGGTTTTTCTGTCTTAACCAGTGATTTGCTGAGTGTCTGTCGCCCCAGCAAGCAGGTGGGCTCCGTAGGGTCAGGGGCGTCTGTCTGCCCGTTCCCACTGTGTCCCTAGAACAGGGCCTGCACGCGGTCAGTGCTCAGCCCCTGGCTGAGTGAATCCTCAGGAGGTCCCGTGTGCGCACGTCTGGTCTGTGGAGCCACGTGTACGTGGGCGTGCATAGCCGGCAGAAACTCGAGAAGGGCCACCTTGCTCTTATTTGTCTAAACAAAATTAAGTCCTGCCCAGAGCCCCCTCCCCGCCCCATCTCGGGGCTTCAGCCCCGCCCCCGCCCCCACCCCCGCCAGTGACAGACTGGGAGCTCCCTCATCACGGAGGTGCCTGTCTGCCCTGCGAGCCCGTGTCTTTGTGTTTGTGGGGACACCGGGGCCTGTGTGTGTGTCTGGGGGTCACCTAGGTGGGTGGCTCCCCTCTCCGTACCTACCCACCCACTTGCAGGCCAAAAACGAGAGGAACTACCACATCTTCTATGAGCTGCTGGCCGGGCTGCCCGCCCAGCTCCGGGAGGCCTTCAGCCTGCAGGAGGCCGAGACCTACTACTACCTGAACCAGGTGAGCGCCGGCAGGCGCGTGCGGGCCCCGGGCCTGTACCCCAACCCGTCAGCCCAGGGGGGCCTAAAGAGCCAGGTCATGGTGTCCTGATGGCCAGCCAAGGTGATGGAGGTTTGGGGGGGTGAGTTTGGATTTCAGGTGTCTCATCATGGCAAGGGGACAAGCGTCTTTGGGGTGCACAGCCGGGGTCGGGGAGGCCTGCCTGACTCTTCACTTTCCTGGAGCCTAGAACAGAGCTGAACTTCCCCTCTAGTGCCTCGGATTCCTTAGCTGTGAACTGGGGACCCAGTCTAGTACCCGTCCTCAGGGACGCAGTGAGGATTAGGTGCAGGAACTGTAGGTGAGGCACCTAGCATGGAGCCTCAGGCCCACGGGAACGGAGCAAGAGCTGAGTGACCAGCTTGGCCACGCTGCAGCTCTGGGCAGAGCGGTGACCTTGAGGGCTCCAGGCCCCCACTCGGGGTCCCTGACCCCTGCCCTGCCCTCGCCCAGGGCGGGAACTGTGAGATCTTGGGGAAGAGTGATGCGGGTGACTTCCGCCGGCTCCTGGCCGCCATGGAGGGGCTGGGCTTCAGCAGCGAGGACCAGGACAGCATCTTTCGCATCCTGGCCTCCATCCTGCACCTGGGCAACGTCTACTTTGAGAAGTATGAGGTGAGAGAACGTCGTGCCCGCCCCAGGGCCCGGTGCCCTGGGGACACAGGCTTCTTTTCAGAGGCCTCACAGTGCACATAGCGTTTGTTCTTTTCCACTCCCCTTTGGGCTGTTCATCTTTTTCTTATTGATGTGTGAGAGCTGTTTACGTATGTTAAGGAAATCAGCCCTTTGTCTCTGATATGAATTGCAAATATATTTTCCAGTTTACCATTTATATTTTGGCTTTGTTTATGGTTTTTCTTGGTGTTTGTTTGTTTTGGCCATGCAAATTTTTAAAATTATTTTCAGGCATTTCATTTATAGATCTTTTCTTGTATAAATTTTAGACTTTTTATCTTTTTTTTTTTTTTTTTTTGCTGAGGAAGATTCACCCTAAGCTAACATCTGTCGCGAATCTTCCTCTATTTTGTATGTGGGCCACCGCCACAGCATGGTCACTAGTAGATGAGTGGTGTACATCCGCATCTGGGAACCGAACCCTGTCCACTGAAGCGGAGTGTGCCGAACTTAACCACTAGGCCACCAGGGCTGGCCCCTTTTATCGTTTTTAGAGAGTCCTATCTCCCTAAAATTATAACAGCCTTCTCCCTTGATTTTTTCAAGACCTTTTATGGTTTTTTTGTGTATATATATTTTTTAACATTTAAATCTTTGGTTTGGGCCGGCCCCGTGGCTTAGCGGTTAAGTGCGCGCGCTCTGCTACTGGTGACCCAGGTTCGGATCCCAGGCGCGCACCGACACACCACTTCTCCAGCCATGCTGGGGCCGCGTCCCACATACAGCAACTAGAAGGATGTGCAACTATGATATACAACTATCTACTGAGGCTTCGGGGGAAAAAAAAGGTGGAGGATTGGCAATAGATGTTAGCTCAGAGCTGGTGTTCCTCAGCAAAAAGAGGAGGATTGGCATGGATGTGAGCTCAGGGCTGATCTTCCTCACACACACACACAAAATCTTTGGTTTGGGGCCGGCCCCGTGGCTTAGCAGTTAAGTGCGTGCGCTCTACTGCTGGCGACCCGGGTTCGGACCCCGGGTGCGCACCGACACACCGCTTCTCCGGCCATGCTGAGGCCGCGTCCCACATACAGCAACTAGAAGGATGTGCACCTATGACACACAACTATCTACTGGGGCTTTGGGGGAAAAAGTGAATAAATAAATAAAATTATAAAAAATCTTTGGTTTATCAGGAATTTACCCTAGTAAGGTGTGAGGTAGGGATTCAGTTTATTTTTTTCCGGATGGTTACGCAGTTATACTAATCCCCCAACTTGAGAGACACACATTTATCATGAACTAAATTCCCGTGGGCATTTATGTCTAATTCTAGACTTCCTGTTGTGCTTCATTAATCTGTGCACGTCCTCTGTGCCTGTGACCACACTGTTTTGATTGTTGTAACTTTATGAAACGTTTTATCATCTTGTAGGGCCCCCTGCACTCTTCTTCTATTTCAGAATTGTCCTGGCTATTCTAGCTTGTTCGTGTTTTTTATTTGAATTTTAAACTCAGCTTAATAGCTCAGAACACGCTCCTGTGGTGTTTTGCGTAGACGGATGCACAGGAGGTGGCCTCGGTGGTGAGCGCCCGGGAGATCCAGGCCGTGGCGGAGCTGCTGCAGGTCTCCCCCGAGGGCCTGCAGAAGGCCATCACCTTCAGAGTGACCGTGAGTCTCGGGCTCCGGGGACTCTGTCTGAGCCTCCTGCTGGCCCCCAGACAGAGCGTCCTCGTGCCCCATCCTGTGTGGACCCTGTCTCCCTCTCCCTGCTCCTCCTGTCCCTCCCATCTTCTCCGTTGGGCCCAGAGGGGGGTGACCTCAGACCCCAAAGGCATTAGGCATTAGACCCCAATCTCCAAGCCTTTGCATAGGCTGTTCCCTCTGCCTCAAATGCTCTTCCCTTTTTCACACCTACTCATCCTTCAAGACCCAACACAGGCATCCCCCCCAGGGAGCCATCCCTGACCCTTGGCTGGGTCAGTACCTCCTTTGGCCTCTCACAACCCCTGGCCCTTCCTCCCTTCCCATGGCTGGTCTCCCCGTGTCTGCTTATGCTCTTATGCTGCTCACACTCTCTGTGTCTGCTATGCCTCTGTCTCCTCCATTAGTCCAGTAGCCCGCATAGCCGGGCAGAAGGAGGGATGAGGGGGTCCTGTTCTGCCCCTGGCTGACTGTGTGCCCAAGACCAGTCACACCGTCTCTCGGGCTCCCTTCCCCACGTGCCACCCCCGCCAATCCTCTGGGGACTTCCTGGAGGTGGTGGCCAGCCTGCTGTCACTCAGGGGCTGCGTCCCTCCCCAGGAGACAATGCAAGAGAAGATCTTCACCCCCCTGACCGTGGAGAGTGCTGTGGATGCCAGGTGAGGCCACGTCCCTCCCTGCCTGAGCCCCCAGACCCCAGGCCCCCCCCGTGCCTCAGCACCCCAACACCATCTCTGCTTCAGGGATGCCATTGCCAAGGTCTTGTACGCGCTGTTGTTCAGCTGGCTCATTGCCAGGGTCAATGCGCTGGTGTCCCCACAGCAGGACATGCTGTCCATTGCCATCCTGGACATCTATGGCTTTGAGGTAAGGCCTCGTGGGTGGGCAAGGAGCAGGGGACGTGAGGCTTCATCTTTCGCGTCTCTCTGCCTACAGCACGCGCCATTGTCTGTTCAGGGCCCTCCCTCACTGCCCTCTCCCATCTCCTGCCGTCTCTTCACTCACCCACAGGCACTCTCTGAGGCCTCTGAGGGCCAGGCCCTGTGCTGGGCAACACCAGGGACCCCGGGAAGGGCCAGACCTGGGCCCTGCCCTTGGGGAGTTTCCAGAGGGACTGGGTGGGGGTGAGGGATGGACGCTGACAAACACACGTGGTCAGAGCCATAACAGAGGCAGCCTGGCACTGGGGGAGCCTAGAGAGGGCCCTTAGCTGGGCAGGGGTCAGGGAAGGCTTCCTGGAGGGGGAGGAGACATCCCTGAGCTAACTCTTTAAGAACCAGTAACGGCATTTGAGGTGGAAGAAACAGCATATGGAAAGGCTGAGAGGTGTGGTGGGGCATGGTGTCTGGGAGCTGGAAGTCATTTGCCCTGGGCAGGTGGGGTGGGGCAGGGCGGGGCCAGGGTGGGGGTGAGGGGTTGAGTGCACAGTGAAGGAAGTGGTGAGAGACAAGGTAAGGTCATCACAGTAAAAGTGATGGCTGGTACTCACTTGGCACCTGTTGTGTGCCAGGTACTGTTCTGAGCACTTTATGTTTATTGTCACTCAATCCTTACAACCGCCCTAGGATAGGTACTGTCATTATCCCCATTTTACAGGCACAGAGGGGTTGCCCAGGGTCACATAGAAAGTGGCAGAGCCAGGATTGGCACCCAGGCAGAAGGTTCCAGCGCCTGGGACTTTGCCCACTACCTATGCTGCCTGTCATCGGGCCCTGGGCTGTCAGGCCCTCCTCACCTGTGCACGGGGAGCCATAGAGGGTTCCAAGCAGGGGGGTCTGTGGTCAGGGCTCAGCCTTCTGAAGCTGTGGCCACGGAGGGCAGGGAGGGCACTGAGCCTCAGCTTGGTTGTGGGGGCACGGACAGGGCCCTAGGCAGGGCCAGATGGGCTGCTGGCCAAGGAGAGACCAGGCCCAGCCTCACCGCCCACCTGGCAGGACCTGAGCTTCAACAGCTTCGAGCAGCTGTGCATCAACTATGCAAACGAGAACCTTCAGTACCTCTTCAACAAGATCGTCTTCCAGGAGGAGCAGGTGTGCGGGGCCTCCGTGGGCACGCCTGTGCCCATCCTGACTGGCCTTGGGGCCTCCCTGGAGACAGACAGGATATACTGGTTCTTTAAAGGCAAATCAGTGGTGGTCAGTAAACTGAACGGGGGAAAGGCATTCTGAGCTGGGGGCCGGCATGTGCAGTGCGAAGGCCTGTATTCTGGAGGGCAAGGTGCTGGGGTGCTGAGCCCAGACAAGGGGGATCTGCAGGGCTGGGGGAAGATCTTCTCACCCTCTGCAGGGCCGTCCCAGGTGGAGGGAGGAGCAGGGCCCAGGGATGGCTCATGTTGTCCTGCTAGGGAGTGAGCTCCCTGTGCCAGGAGGTGTGCGAGCAGAGGTGCCCCTGGCCAGGCCCATTCAGATGGATTCAGCCTGGGAGGCAATGTGGGTGCGACTTGGGCAGGGCTTGGAGGCTGAGCTCCTGCTGCCCTGCCCGCAGGAGGAGTACATCCGCGAACAGATCGACTGGCGGGAGATCAGCTTCGCCGACAATCAGCCCTGCATCAACCTCATCTCACTGAAGCCCTATGGCATCCTACGCATCCTCGATGACCAGTGCTGCTTTCCCCAGGTGAGCCACAGGTGCTGTGTGAGCCTGTTGGGTTGCTCAGTGTCTCTGAGCCTCATGTCCTCATCAGGCCTGAGTCCTGCAGTCTGCTCTGCTCTGGCCTGGCTATGGGGGCTCAGTACACCCAACCTGCCATGCACAACCTGGGTAGTTGTGACTGGATAGAGGGCTACGGGTGTCCAGAGGAGGGGCTGTGGCAGGCTGAGAAGTCACCGAAGGCTTCCTGGAGGAGCTGACCTTGGGATTGGGCCTCAGATTTTGATTGGAAAACACGAGGGTGGGATGGGTGCTCTGGGCAGTGGGATAAGAGCGTGCAAAGGCAGCTTGGCTGGAGCGGAGGTGGCTGGGAGCTAATCAGACTCACCTGTCTGCAGGGGTCCACTCAGGGCAATGGGCAGCCAGGGAAAACTGACCCCGTGCTCGCTGGGGACCAGTCAGGGCTGGAGAATTTGCCACTAGGCCGGGAACACGCTGCCCAGGCCTCCTGCCCACCTACTGACCCCCACCTACCCCTAGGCCACAGACCACACGTTTCTGCAGAAGTGCCATTACCACCATGGCGCCAACCCACTCTACTCCAAACCCAAGATGCCACTGCCCGAGTTCACCATCAGGCACTATGCAGGCAGAGTCACCTACCAGGTGAGACCAGGACAGCCCACGGCCTCCAGGGCCGCAGTCCCTGCTGTTGGACACGGAAGCACCACGTGGCTCCAGGCACTTGTACCTGGTCCCGGGTCTGGCCCCGCTGATCCTTATCTATGTGACCTTGGGCAGAGCACTTTACTTATCTGAGCCTCAGTTTCCTCATCTGGGAAATGGGGATACTACAGTGCCCATGTCCTGGGGTGAGGGAGAGAAGTCTAGGGCTAGGCGGGTTTAATGCAGCATGGCTGTGGTCAGTAGCAATGGTGCTGTGGTCGCTCTCATCACTGTTGTCTCAGGCACGTTCCTGCCCTGAGGTGTCTCGGACCAGGCTGCTAAGCCTCTGTCCCTGTCTGGGCCTCACTGTCATCGTCTGTAGAGTAGGCACTAGTCCAAGGCCTGGACTAGTCGTGTGAAGCTGCGGCTGGTGCCCCCCTACCCCAGGAGTGGGGAGGAGAGTGGGGGCTGAGGGGAGGGGCCCAGAGCGGGGGTGGGGGGTGGGAACCAGGAGACAGGCCTGGAGGGGCAGGGCTGGGGTCGCCCAGGGGCTGTAAAGAGGAAGGGAGGAGGAGGGGAGCAGGCAGGCTGACACACCCTGGGGGTTACCCTCGAGTGCGTCCCCAGGCCGTGTGGGGTGGGGTCCAGCCCGAGCTGCCCCGCTGTAACCCCTTTGCAGGTGCACAAGTTCCTGGACAAGAACCACGACCAGGTGCGCCAGGACGTGCTGGACCTGTTCGTGCGGAGCCGGACGCGAGTGAGCAAGCCTCGCCTCCCGCCGCCCGGGCCCTGCGGTCAGGCTCCTCTCCCAGGGCATCTAGCCCACTGTCACGCTCCTCTCCCAGTCCAGGAAAAGGGGAGGTACCCTAGCCCACCCCGCAAGTCGTTCATCTGCCTCACCCCAGCCCCGGCCAGGCCCTGACCCCAATCCCAACCCTAACCCTGCACGCCCCCAGCCTTGCCTCGCTCTGTACTTGCTCCCATCCCTGGCCCTGCCCAGCCCCTCTGGATTGCCCTGTCTCTCCTGGCCCATCCTGGCCACGCCCTCCCAGCCCTGCCCCATCCCCTCGTTGAGCGGTTCTCCCAGCTGCCGGTGTTCTCAGCCATCAGCTGCACTCTGGACTTCCACTTCCTCCTCTGTTAAGTGGGCACCCTCCTCCTGGGGTCGGTGCCAGAGTTCATGGCCATGTGTGTAACAGGCCACCTTGGGGCGGGGTACACAGTCAGTCCTGTGTGTTCCCCAGACTGAAGAAAAAAGTCAGCCCAACCACAGGGTGGGTCCTTTGGGAGGTGTTGAGCACCCTGACTCGAAAGGTGTGCAAGCCAGGAGCACAGTGGCCCTGCAGAGGGGACAGGGTCCAGTGGGTTAGTCTTCTGAGCCCTCTGGTCCAGAGACTTGACTCCTTTTGTTCTCTGCCTTTCCCTCTCCGTCTGTTTCTCTCCTCGTTTCTGTCTCTTGGCCCCTGCCTCTCCCTGTCTCCCTGTCTCTCGGCGCCGTGACCACTGCCCCGACCCGCCGCCCGCCCCTGCCCAGGTGGTGGCCCACCTCTTCTCTAGCCACGCCCCACAGGCTGCCCCTCAGCGCCTGGGCAAGAGCAGCTCCGCCACCCGGCTGTACAAGGCTCACACGGTGGCCGCTAAGTTCCAGCAGTCGCTCCTGGATCTGGTGGAAAAGATGGAGAGGTGGGCATGGCAGGTGGGAGGGTACCCTGCCTCACCTCTGACCCACTCCATGACCCTCAGCAGTAAGCACCTTTCTTCTCTGGGGCCTCACACTGCCGTCCTTCCGCCCCTGCCCAGGTGTAACCCCTTGTTCGTGCGTTGCCTGAAGCCCAACCACAAGAAGGTACGTGATGGCTGAGGTCCCTAGGAGAGCCAAATCCTCTTCCCCATGCTGTGTGACCTTGGGCAAGTGGCTTTGTCTCTCTGGCCCTCCATCTGCCCGGCCCACTGTGGGGGCTATTCACCATTGCTAGTGCCCTTTGCACATGGGTGGGCCAATGTGCAGACTCCCTATCTTTGCCCTCCCTGCAGGAGCCAGGCGTCTTTGAGCCAGATGTGGTAATGGCACAGTTACGCTATTCGGGGGTGCTGGAGACCATACGGATCCGCAAGGAGGGCTTTCCAGTGCGGCTGCCCTTCCAGGTGTTCATCGACAGGTACCTCAGACCCCTACCCAGCCCCCCATTACTCCAGGAATACACAATCCAGGCAGGAGAGGGCTTGCCATGCACAGTTGCTCAGGTTGTGCACTACATAAGATCACCACACGCTAGCTGTTATGTGGAAGATATATTTATTGTTTTGCATTTTTTCATTGTTTTATTATATATGTGTTGATTCTAAAGAATAGTTTTAATAGTTATTCTGACAAGCTTCCAGCAGATGGCAGTAAAGTGTCTTATTCTACTGAAACCATCTAACGATTTTCTGACACCCAAAAGTAGTTTTATTTATTTATTTTTTGTGAGGAAGATTGGCACTGAGCTAACATCTGCCAATCCTCCTCTTTTTTTGCTGAGGAAGACTGGCCCTGGGCTAACATCCATGCCCATCTTTCTCCACTTTATATGGGACACTGCCACAGCATGGCTTGACAAGTGGTGCGTCAGTGCACTCCCGGGATCTGAACCGGCTAACCCCGGGCCGCCGCAGCGGAGTGTGCGCGCTTAACAGCTTGCGCCACCAGGCCGGCCCCGAGAAGTAGAGTTTTGAGGATGGAGTGCCTTTTTCTGATTAGAAGACACTATGAGTAGAGCCACTGCTGGGACCTGCGCCTCCTGGAGACAAGAGGATGGGGGTGGGGGACCCCATGGTCTCGTGGGCAGCTGGGGTAGGTCCCCCAGCCCCAGGCTGAGTTTGGGCCCCTGCAGGTACCGCTGTCTAGTGGCCCTCAAGCACAGCCTGCCAGCCACTGGGGACATGTGTGTGTCGCTGCTGAGCCGCCTGTGCACAGTCATGCCAAACATGTACCGTGTTGGTGTCAGCAAGGTGAGTTCCACGCCACACTCAGCCCCTGGGGGCCCCACGTTCAGGGGTTCCAGAACTGGAGCCCATGGACTCAGAATGCCCCTGCTGGGCCGGCTCCGTGGCTTAGCGGTTAAGTGTGCGCGCTCTGATGCTGGCGGCCCGGGTTCGGATCCCGGGAGCGCCCCGAGGCACCACTTCTCCATCCAACGTGAGGCCGAGTCCCACGTACAGCAACTAGAAGGATGTGAACCTATGACATACAACTATCTACTGGGGCTTTGGGGGGGAAAAACTGAATAAATAAAATCTTTAAAAAAAAAAAAAAAAGAATGCCCCTGCTAAAGATCCCTGTCCCAGGGGCCATCCCCTTGTGCTTGGTTAATGGAATCTAATCCCACCCCTGACCTTTGCTCGGTATTCCCACTGCCTGATCCACCATCACCCTTTCTTCTCCCTCTCCAAACCCAGCCCTCCCCCCATCCAGCTGCCCTCTCTGTTCTGGCTCCATGGACTTCTGGAGAGGGCGGGCCCCCAGTCCAGTCACCTGGCCCTCACCTGCCTCTTGTCCGCAGCTGTTCCTTAAGGAACACCTACACCAGTTGCTGGAGAGCATGCGTGAGCACGTCCTGAACCTGGCTGCCCTCACGCTGCAGCGCTGCCTCCGGGGTTTCTTCATCCAGCGGCGTTTCCGCTCTCTGCGCCGCAAGATCATCCTGCTGCAAAGCCGGGCCCGCGGCTACCTGGCCAGGTGCGGTCCAGAGAGGGCAGGACTCCCTGAGCCTCCGGCTGGGCTTGGGAGGTGCTATGCCTTAGGTAGTAAGCTCCCTGTTGCTGGAGGCTTGCAAGCTGAGCGTGGGCCCCCGTAGGAAGGGTGATCAGATTCTCTGCGTCTCTGCTTTTAGATGTCCTTCCCTCCCACCCCTTGGCCCTTGTGACTGGTGTGTGGGTGGGAATCCATCCAGTCAAGAGAGGCCCCACTTTGCATCTCAGGGACCCTGGGATGGCAACCTTGATGGGAAGTACATGGTCCAGTTGGTTAAATCCAGGACCTGCCACTTAATTTGCTGTGTGACCTTGGCCAAGTCACTGCCCTTCTCTGAGCCCCAGTTTCCCTTTGTGCCAAAGGGTCCCAGGGTGAAGTATAGGCACTGGCACCCAGGCCAGGCTGGTGTGGGCATCTCTGCCCCTTGGTCACTTGTGACCCCGACCCTAAGGGCCCCTGCCCAGACACTCCTTTCCTCCCCACCCCCAGGCAACGATATCAGCAGAAGAGGAGGAATCTGGTGAAGTTCCGGTCCCTGGTGCACACATACGTGAGCCATCAGCGTCACCTCAAGGTGCAGGCCTGCCCCGCCCGGGGCTGGGGACAGCAGCATGGGGAGGAGGCACTTAGCACCCAGCAGGGACCATTGGCCTTGGACATTCTTGGGTTTGGACCCCGGTCTGCCACTCACAGCTGTGTGGCTGTGGCCCCTCTCTGGCCTCGCTGTCCCCCTACCCCTTGGGGTTGTGCAGAGGGTTAACTGAGATCTGCACGCAAGGCTTGGCCTGGTGCTGGGGTCGCAGCGGGGTCCTGGGTGACGGGGTATGATGAGAATCTGGCGACCGAACAGCACAGAGACGGTTTTGCTCTTACTTCGCTGCTGGCCTTAGCCCGCTGTCATGTCAACTGTCCACCAGAGAGATAAATGTAACTCCCCAAAGCACCGAGGAACTTTGTGGCTTTGACTGCAGGTTCTGTGGAGCGACAGGGAGGGGCTTCCTCGTGCTCCTGGCTCCTTCCCAGAAACCCTCCTTGTGCAGAGCATCGTGCCCTCTGCCTGTCTCTCTCTTGCTCTGTCCTCCCTTCCTCTCCTTTTCTCTGGCCACACCTCGCCTCCCCCATCTGTGAGTTGGGACAGTTGCTCCCCGACAACAGGCACACTGCCCCCCTGCTTCTCGTGCCGCCACCTTGTGTGAGCCTGGGGCCTGCCGTCGCCTCTGCCCCCACTTCCCGCCTTGACCATCTGCTCTCCTGCAGCTGAGGGCAGAGCGGAGGCTCCGGGTGGAGGAGGCGCGGCTGCGGGAGCAGGAGGTGGGTGCGGGGGTCTGGGTGGAGCAGGGCACAGGAAGGGAGGCTGCAGGTGGGGCTTAGGGCAGGCCTGTCCCCTCACCCTGCATGGTCCCTCTAGGAGCTGAGCAAGCGGGAGGTGGTGGCTGTGGGGCATCTGGAGGTCCCAGCAGAGCTGGCTGCGCTCTTACGAGCGGTGGCAGGTACACCAGCGCTGGATGGCGTGGTGGGGTGGGTGGGGTGGGCAAGGGAGCCAAGCACCTCATGCCCTTCTCTCTACAGGCCTCAGGCTGGCCCAGGAGCCCCGGGTGGCCCCCGTGCGGACTCCCCGGCTCCAGGCCGAGCCTGGTGTCACGCTGCCCCTGGATATCAACAACTACCCCATGGCCAAGTTCATCAGATGCCACTTCAAGGTAAGGGCTGGCTCAGGCCCAAGGGGCTCTGGCCAGTGGGCACTGACCGATGTGAACTGACCCTGTCGGCAGCCTGGGGCAGGCTCCTGGCTGTGCCCTGTGGGGCTGGGTGTGAGCCCTTCAGTTGCTGGCTCCTGAGGAGTCTGGGGGCTCCCGGGGGCCTAGGTAGCAGTGGAGGGCCCTCAGGCTCGAGAAGTGGCTATTTCCAACAGTCTGGAAATGTTTCAGAAATTTAACAGGTAGTGGAGCCACCACATGTCATCCCTGCTGTAATTTCCTGCCCTCCAGAAGGGGCCTCGACAGGGCTCAGACTGTCTCCCCCACCAACTTGCTGAGGGTCGGCACCTGCCCCCCGAGCCTCAGTTTCCCCATCTGCACAGTGGAGACAGGTCTCCCACCTGGCACAGAGCTGGATCCAGATGTGCCTGTCAGTCCCCGCTCTGTCCCCACCTGCCTGCCTTGTGCTTCCAGGAACCTGCCTTTGGGATGCTGATGGTGCCACTGAGGATGCCCCTCACGCGGCTGCCCGTAGAGCTCCACGCGGAAGCTGTGAGCCTGTTCAAGCTGGTATGGGTCTACCCAGACCACCTTCGAATTCACAGCCCCTGCCCCCAAGGCCAGGCCACAAGGCCCCTCACCGGCCCTCCTGGACCCTCCACTAGCCCAAGCCATGAGCACAGGCCTCTTCCTTGGAGGAGAGACTTCTGTCAGGGGGCAGGGGGAATCTGGCCTCCTCTCTAGGCTGGGGTTGGGGGTTGGGAGCCTTTCTTTTCCCGGCCATCCTCCTGGCTAAAAGGCTGCCTTGGAGCCCATCTGGAGCTTCCCTGGGACAGGAAGAATAGATCCAGGTCCTCTCCTCGAGAACTTCCTAGTCTGAAGGAGGAGGCAGAGCAGACCTGACTGTTGACCACTAGCATAGACAGAGGGAGGCACGGAGGCTGGGGAGTCCAAATGGGGCCCCTAATCCAGCTCTGGGCAGGGTCCGAGAAGGCTTCCTGGAGGAGGGGGCGTTTGAGCTAGAGTTGAAGGAGTAGTCAGGATATCCCAGCCAGGGCGGGTGGAGAAGGCACCGGGAGAAGAGGGAACCGACGAGGTCAGAACAGAGGACCAGGAGAACGAAGGTGAGAGGTGTCACGAGGCCTTGACTGACAGACCCAGAGCTCAGATTTCATCCCAAGGGCCCTAGGGAGCCAAGGAAGGTGCTTCCATGGGAGGGATGTCATTGGATATGAATGTTGGAAAATATCCTCTGGGGCCTGGATGGAGCAGGAGGAGAGGCCAGCGGTGTGTGGAGGGGGCTGGGGCCGTATGGAGAGCGATAGAAGGTTTGTGAGCAAGAGAGAAAGTCAGTATGTACTTGGATCTTGACTTTTCCCCTAGTTGGGGTGAACTGCCTGGGTTTTGGCATAGGCTATGGTTATTCTTTTGTATTATGGGGGACTTTTATACGGGCAGGGGGACCCACGGGAAGGACATGAGAGGGATGCGTGTTGGGGGTGGGGATCTGGCAGGAACAACCTTCGGGAGGCCCAGGAGAGTCTGTTTGTGGCCCAGATCCTGCGTTTCATGGGTGACTCCCACCTGCACGGTGCCCAGGAAAACATCTTCGGGAACTACATTGTGCAGAAGGGGCTGGCGGTGCCCGAACTGCGGGACGAGGTCCTGGCACAGCTGGCTAACCAGGTGTGGCGCAACCCCAGTGCCCACAACGCTGAGCGGGGCTGGCTCCTGCTGGCTGCCTGCCTCAGCGGCTTTGCACCTTCCTCGAGCCTCAACAAGTACCTGCTCAAGTGAGTGGAACCAGGTTGGGCCGGGGCCTGGGGACAGTGACCCTGGGGTGGGATATTAAAGGTCAGGAGAGGAGTGAGGTCTCTGCGTGGGCGCTCAGGCACGGAGGCTGGCCGGGGACTACTCTCCGTCTCCACTGGGCTCAGAGCAAGAAAGAAGGGCACATCTTCACTGCGGAGGGTAGGAGTCAGGTGAGACTGGATTAAGGACTTCTAGAACTCAGAGGGTTACAAGACCAGGGTGTGGGGAATTTGGAAGAGAGACATTGACCTCTCATGTCATGGGAGTATAGCAGGGTAGTTAGGAGTATAGACTGACAGTTTGTGTTCAAATCCCAGCTCAACCATGTATGAGTTGTGTGACCTTGGGCAAATTACTTAACCTCTCTGAGCCTCAGTTTCCCCACCTATAAAATGGGGACAATAGGAGTACCTATTGCATAGGCTATGTAAGAATTAAGTGCTTAGAAGAGAGCACATGGTATGTGAGTATAGCCATCGTCAGCATCCTGATGATGATTGGTGATGAGGTCACCTTGCTGGGTGATAAGGATGATCTGCAAGGAGAGGAGCTCAAGCAGACCCTGGGTACGAATCCCAGGTCTGACACTTCCCTGCTCGGTGACCTAGGGCAAGTCACTGCTCCTCTCTGAGCCTCTTTCCCTACCTGTGAATTAGGGACGGTGACAGAACCCACCTTACAGGGGACCTGTGAGCCCAGAGTGGACAGAGCTTGGCCCGGGCCTCGTGCAGGAGGTGGGCAGCTCACTCAGCCAGTCTTGTGAGTCTGTGGCAGGAGGGTAGGGCTGCTGCCTGCCTGTCCGGGGCTTTCTGTGCACACAGCTCCAGGTTCCTGCTTGTAGCATCTGAGACCTGCTCTGCCGCTGCTCCAGGCCTGGCAGCGGGTGGGCAGCAGACAGGGACAAGGCACGAGGAGTACCTGCCGCTGGCAGGGGCCAGACTCCCTGGTCCCGGGTCAGGCTGACCCTCACAGCCATCTCTGGTGTGGAGGAGAGCTTGCAGGCAGGCTCAGAGAGGGCAGGTGAGCACCCGGGGTTGCCTGTTGGAAGAGCAGAGGGCAGAGTCCTCCAGAGTCAGGTGTTTGCCCCCACCCTGCTGCAGACCCCACTCTGACAGTGACGTTTTGCTGCAGCAAGCTTAGGTAGGCAAACCTGCAACCTCTTTGGCCTATCCTCAGACCTCTATGCGGGCTTGAGATACTTCTGGGCTAGCCTGGGACCGTTTCAGCTTAGTCCTGGAACTCTGGGCTAGCTTGAGATCTTTTTTAGCCTCGTCTCAGACTCTGGGCTAGTCCAGGGCCTTTTCAGCCTCACCTTAGCGCTCTGGGCTAGCCTGGGCCTCCCTCAGACTAGCCTCAGAGTCTTTCCCCACCCCGGGCTAGCCTCAGATCCCTCTTCATCCTGACTCTAACTGCTGCCCCTCAGGTTTGTGTCTGATTATGGGCGGAATGGCTTCCAGGCCGTGTGTCAGCATCGCCTCATGCAGGCCATGGGCCGGGCCCAACAGCAGGGCTCCAAGGCTGCCCGCACCTTCCCTCCGACCCAGCTCGAGTGGATAGCAGCCCAGGAGAAGGCTGCCATGGCGCTGGATGTGGGCTGCTTCAACGGTGAGCTGCTTTCTCCCACCTTGCCTGCCTTCCCTCCCTCGCTCACGGAGGGGCAGCTGGAGTCAGCAGTCCCCAGTGTGCCCTGGGGTCAGGAAAGCCACGGAAGGTTCTGGAGCTGGGGAGGGGCCTGCTGGGTGTGGCCCCGGAAAGAGGTATGCGTGTGGATGGGAAGGCTGGACCTGGAGTTGGGGAGGGGACGCAGGGCCGTGAGGATGCAGTTCCAGGGTCCAGGATGAGAGCGCTGAGGCCTAAGAGCAGGAAGCAGGTGGGGAGGCAGCAGGACTGGACCACAGGTGTGCCCGGGCTGAGTCTGGCACTGCTGCCGCCCCAGGTGACCAGTTCTCCTGTCCTGTGCACTCCTGGAGCACGGGGGAAGAGGTGGCTGGAGACATTCTAAGGCACAGGTTGGTTCCTGGAATGCCCTGCCCAGCACACCCTCGTGCACCTGGGAAGGAAGGAGGGAGGGGCAGGAGGCCAGATCTCCCAAAGGGTCCCGTGGGGCCCACTCTGGTCATGCTTGGGGTCTGGCTCCTATCCCAGGGTCTCCTCAGCTGCTACCTCTTGGCTCCGCCCCTCATTTCCATCTTTCTACATGCTGTCACCAGGGGGCTGGCAGACGGCTGGCGCGGCTGGACGGTGGCCATGAAGAATGGGGTCCAGTGGGCAGAGCTGGCAGGCCACGACTACGTGCTGGACCTCGTGTCAGACCTGGAGCTGCTCAGGGACTTCCCGCGGCAGAAGTCTTACTTCATCGTGGGTGCAGAAGGGCCTGTGGCCGGCAGGGGAGGCTCCAGAGCGTAGGTGGCTCCCCGCCCCTCATCACACGGCCTCTGGCGTGAGGCTCCTCCCAGCTCCTGGGAGAGACTAAGTTCTGCCTAAGCTTCTTGAGGAGGTGGGGCTTACCAAAAGGTCCTGCCTTTAAAGGGAGAGTCATCTGATTCTAGGGCAGAAGACAATGGGGGGTTCTTCTGGGAGGGCCCTGGGTCTCTGGGGGTCAGCTGCTCCCTGTTCCCCTTCCCCACAGGGTGTTTGGGAACAGCTGGGACTCGGATGAGGATACGCCCACTAGGCCCCAGCCCCAGGGGCACGTGCCCACAGTGGCTGACTCTGATGGGTACTGCAGCCACAACGAGGACGGTATAGATGGGGAGCCGGAGGCCCAGAGAGGGACAGCAACCCACCAAGGTCAGCCAGCAGTGGCCGAAGAATCTGGTGGGGAAGGAGCTTGGGGGCGGCGGGAGGTGATCAGCCGGAGAAAAGAACTTGACTTTTGTGGCTCCCCTCTCGCCGCTCCAGACTTTGACAGCCTTGGAGAGCCTGCTATGCCCCACAAGGGCCTGGACTGCTACCTGGACAGCCTCTTCAACCCCGTGCTGTCCTATGGGGACACGGTAGGGATGGGTGGGGCATTTGCAGACGGCGGGCACAGCATGTACACACCAAGTCACACACACCCACAGGGTGACACAGGAGCCTTTCCCCCCCAGAACCATGGGGTGGTGTGTCTCAAGTCTCTGCAGGGAGCTGGGCAAAGGAGGAAGGTGTCCTCATGGTTAGAGATGCTAGTGATGCCCCTGGCAGACTCCGGAAAGAGCCACGGCGAGAGGTCCAGGGCCCCTCCCCCATCTCCTGTGGGAGCCAGACCCCTCAGGCCCCTCGCTTGCTCTGGGAACTCCCAGGAGCCCCTCCATGGCGTGCTGTGCAGCCCTGTGCAGAGCACAGCCCTCTCTGAGCCTCAGTTTACTCCTTTATGAAAGAGGGTGGGTCGGGAGCTCAGGAGGTCGTGGGAGGACGGACTGGGATGCTGCCTGGGCAGAGGCTGGGCACAGAGCAGACACCGGGTCGGCAGGGGGCCCCCAGGGCAGAGAAGGTGGCTGGTGTCAGGTACCCGTTGCCTTGGAACCTTGGGTGTAAGGCATTGGGGCGGTCACTCAAACCACCTGCTCCCTCCAGGACCTAGAGAAGCCAACGGCCATTGCCTCCCGCATGAAAGGGGGAGGCCAGCCTGGAAGAGGTGGCAGTAGCAGCGTGGAAGACACCCCCAGGAGACCCCCAGAGCCAAAGCCAAAACCAAGTCAGTGCCTGCCCCCGGGTCAGTTCCAGGGCTGGGCAGGGCCTCCTGCTGGTTCCTGGGGCTCCTTCATGTGCTAGAACATGGAAGCAGCCATGGACATGGTGGGGGTGAGATGCTGGGGGGGGGGGGGTGGCGGGGCATGGTAGGGAATTTCCACTTCCCCCCATCTCCCACGCCTCGGGATCCACGCCCTCCGACCTGGCTCCCCCAGTCCCAGGCCTGGACGCTTCCACACTGGCTCTGCAGCAAGCCTTCATCCACAAACAGGCCGTGCTGCTGGTGAGTGCGGGAGGGGCTTCGGGGGGGCTCCAGGCATGGGCCTGCCTGGTCATCACCACACCCTCTCCCCAGGCCCGCGAGATGACCCTGCAGGCCATGGCGCTCCAGCAGCAGCCCCTGGGTCCCGCCCCAAGGCCCTTGTTGCCTGAGGTGAGCCTGGCCTGCCCAGGGGAGCACTGTGCTGCTCCAGGGCGTCATTGTGCCTCTCTGAGCCAGGAGCCCCACCGCCCACCCTGGGCAGACAGAGGGTCCCTGAGACCAGGCTGGTGTGTCCCAGGAAGCCCACCTCACAGCTTGTTTTCCACAGAAACCCCTAGCGCCAGAGGCATGGCCAACGTCGGTAGGCACTCGGCCCCCAGCCAAACCTGTGCTCCTGCGCCCGGCTCCAAAGCCTTTGGCCCCTGCCCGTCTGGCCAAGGCCCCCAGGCCCCTCACCAAGCCTGTGGCTGCCCCCATTCTAGCTCAGGACCGGGCTTCTCCGGAAACCAGTGAGTGTCCTGTCCCAGCTGGGGCAGGGGTTCCCGGGATGGGGTGGGAGTGTGGTCCCACCCTGTCCCCCCCGTCACCCCTTGCCCACAGCTGCGCCCTGCCTGGAGCTGGTGCGGTACTCAACGCTCAACTCGGAGCACTTCCCGCAGCCCACGCAGCAGATCAGGGACATCGTCAGGCAGTGCCAGCAGCTGCCGCGCGGAGGCCGGCCCGAAGCCCTCAGGTCAGCTCTGCCCCTACCCCAGCCCTCCTGCCCAGCGGCCTCGTCACCAGGCCTGAGCGCCTGCCATCCGTGTGCCCATCCACTGGTCAACAGCGCCCCCCCCCAGCAGCCTTTAGGGAGTGAGTCTATTTATGCAGGTGGTCCAGATGAGCCCCGAGGAGAGGGAGGCCCATTCTGCTCTGGGTGGTGCGGTGTGACCTCAAGCCAGTCCCTGATGCTCTCTGGGTCTCATTTATGATGATGGGGCGGAGGAAGGAGTTCCCTACTGTAGGAATTTGTGGCTGGGAAGAGGAGACTGAGTGTGCCACCCCCCAGGAAGGACTGTGGACGGGCGTTCGTGAAGCAGGCAGACCCCCATGAGGAGGCCCTGATGATCCTGAAGGGGCAGATGAGCCGTCCGTCGGCAGCTCCTGGCGCCCAGGTGAGGGGCGGGGTCGGGCTGGGCCTGGGTAGACAGAAGACAAAGCAGGGCCTCCAGGGAGCTCAGAAACCAGCCGCCCTGTGAACTCTGGCCCTGCTGCTGCCCTCCACTGGGCCCACCTTGCCCCTGAGCACTCTCTTTGGGGTGGGGACAGGTCCCCAGAGAGGCTGTGGCCCTGGTGAAGCCAGTGACCAGTGCACCAAGGCCATCCGTGGGGCCCACTCCAGGTAAGGGGCACGAGGGAGGGAGGGGGCAGGGCAGGTGTCCGAGGGTACGAGTAAGTCATTGTGAGCACAGGTGCGTCTTGGTCTGCGTGTCAGTGGTGTGTGTGTGTCTCTGTCCCTGAGCTCGTGTGGGCCTTCTCTGTGAGCATTTGTCTAATTATATCAGCACTTAAATAATACGGATTGCAGGCCAGGCCCACCCTGGCCTCACTAAATCCTCACTAAAACCCTTCATTGCAGTACCGTTTGTGCCTACAGACGTTACAGATAGGGAAACAGGCACAGAGCGGTTAAGTGACTTGCCCAAGATTACACAGCTCAAAAGTGTCAGACCAGGGATATAAACCCAGACCTCCTGGCATCATAATTGGAGCCCTGACCTCTACATCCTCTGCCTCACTGCAGTCACAATGTTAAGAGATATAAATCAGCTCACATTGTGTCCTTGCCAAAAATGCTCCAGTGGCTCCTGGGGTAGACTTCAGACTCTTCAGTGTGGCCTATGAAACTCTGCACATCTGCTCACTTCCCCAACCTCATCTCTTCATACTCTGCTCTTGGTGTACTGTTCCTAGAACACACCAAGCCTGCTCCTGCCTCAGGGCCTTTGCACTTGCTATTCCCACTGCCTAGAATGCTCTTCCCCAAAAGATCTTTGCATGCCTGGCCACTTCTTATCATTCAGGTCTCGAATGTCACCTCCTCAGAGAGTTCTGCCAGAGCAACCAGACTGAAGGACCCTCACAGACCAGCCCTCCAGACTCTTTCCTGAGTCACCCAGTGTTATTTCCACCCCAGCTCCTAGCACTAAGAGCTTTGTGGCTTCTGAAGTGTCTGTTCCACCCACACCTGCAAGGAGACTCGACACTCCAGGCAGCGCCTTGTCTGCCCTGTTGGCCGTAGCACCCCAACCCCTAGCACAGGCCTGCATACACTAGGTGCTCTATATATGTGTGGAAGGAAGGGTTGGGCGGTGAGAGTGTGTGTGTGTGCCCGCAGGATCAGGCGTGTCTGCGCCCAGGGTGTGGGATGCCACTCTGCCCCAGCCCTTTACCTGACACGATCGCGCCGAGTCTCCCCCCGCCGACCCTCCTCTCTCGCTCATGCCGCCCCCGCGCGCCGCAGCGCTGCGGTCGCGGTCGCTGGAGCCTGCGGAGGAGCCCGTGCAGACGCGGCTGCACCGCCTCCCCAACCCCAACGTCTACGGCTACCACGACGCCCCCTGGCGGCTCTTCCTGCGCAAAGAGGTGCCGGGAGCCAGGGGAGGGGCTGAAGGGGGCGGAGCGGCCCCGGGGGGCGGGGCCAGGGGAACCGGGTCAGGGCCCGGCGGGCTGGTACAGAGCAGGCTGCATCCAGGGGGTGGGGCTGGGAGTGGAGCAAGGTGAGGGGGCCTCGGAAGGTCCTCACTGAAGCGCGCCCCCACAGGTGTTTTACCCCAAGGACAGCTACAGCCACCCTGTGCAGCTCGACCTCCTGTTCCGGCAGGTGAGGGCCTCGCTTCCCTTTCTGCCTCAGTGTACTCAGCAGGGCAGTGGGCACGTAGACTAGCTGTCTGCAGTCTGCTTCTGCACTCTTGGGTTTGGGGTCCTTGACCAGTGAGGATGGGACGCTGTTCTCCTGAATCCCCATCACCGGTGAACACAGCCAGTGAGCCCACAGTTCGTCTCACCCCGCTCATGGTTTATCCGAGTTAGGCAGGACCCAGAGGTCGAATGCAAGCCGGCTGTATAGGTTAGGAAACTGGGGCCTGGGAGAGGGGCGTGGCGTGCAAAGTGAGGAAGGAGAGGGCCCTTGGAGGTGGGCTCTGATTCACACAGGACCCCACGCTGCATAAATGGGACCCCCACATTCCTGCTCCCTCACAACCAGTCCAGCCTGGGTTCCCAGCTGAGGGAGTCCCGCGGGCTGCCTGCCTCATGGCTCGTTCCCGCAGATCCTGCACGACACACTCTCCGAGGCCTGCCTGCGCATCTCCGAGGATGAGAGGCTCAAGATGAAGGCCCTGTTTGGTACCACATGGGGAGGGAAGGGGTGTTGATGGGGCAGCCAGCTAGAGCCACAGCAGCCCTTTCCCAGAGGGAGACTGGTTCTGATGGGCCTAGCCCCATTGGCCTCCCAGACACCCCTCCTCGCTTTGCTTCCGGCCTCTCCCGTGGCCAGGCCAGGTGGAGTTTGGCTCTGCCTGACAGGCTGTGTGGTCTCGGCCCTCCTGTCTGTCTCTGGATCTCAATTTCCCGGCATGGACACTGAGAGCACAACGATCCAATACCTTCTTGTTGTGTGTCGGCCTCCCTCCCTGCAGTGGGGGCCGGCAGGGGAGCCGGGAGAGGGTCCTGACCTGACCTGGTGTCCCCTAGCCCAGAACCAGCTAGACATGCAGCGGCCCCTGGTGACGGAAAGTGTGAAGCGGGCCGTGGTCAACGCCGCACGCGACAGCTGGGAGGTCTACTTCTCGCGCCTCTTCCCAGCCACGGTTGGAGCCCCCTGCCCGCCCCCTACCTGCCCTGCCTGCCCCAGGGCTTTAGAGATGAGGCTAGACGACCCTGACGTGCCCATTATCCCCACCCCAGGGCAGCGTGGGCACTGGTGTGCAGATCCTAGCCGTGTCCCACACGGGCATCAAACTCCTGCGGATGGTCAGGGGCAGCCGGGAGGCCGGCAGGCAGCTGCGGGTCCTGCGCACATACAGGTGACCGGCAGGCGGGCCAGAATGGGGTCGCTGGACACTGGGGCATGGACTGGCTTCAGTGTTTCCTCGTGGCTGTGCCCACAGCCAGTTACTGAGTGCCTAGGGTGTGCGGGCTCTGTGCCGAGTGCTTTGATCAAGCCCATTTTACCGAGACCTTACCGAGTCCTCGGGCCCCTCCCTGCCTGCAGCCCCTTTGTCCTTGATAGCAGCAGGACAGGAAGAGAGCCTCACTCACCGGTTGGGTGAAAGCTCCTTGCTCTGAAAGATGGAGAGAATTTATCAATGAGTGAAAGAGATTTGTGTGGGCAAAATCTGGGAGGTTAGATCAAGAGGCGGGGAAAAAAAAAAAGGCAAAGGGCAGGGAGGGGCTGGAATGTTGCCAGTTCAAAGGGTGGTGGGCAGTGAGCTGGAGCCGTCGGGGCAGACAGGGGAGGCCGGTCCCAGAGGCTGGGCTTCAGGAACAGGACAGGGCAGGGGCAGAAGGAGCAGGATGGGTGGGGTGGAGGGTGTCCCTCTAGCCATGGGGTCCTGCCCTCATGCCACCTTTCATTCTCCAGCTTTGCAGATATCCTGTTTGTGGCCATCCCCTCCCAGAACATGCTGGAGTTCAACCTGGCCAGTGAGAAGGTCATCCTCTTCTCGGCCCGAGCTCACCAGGTCAAGACCCTGGTGGACAACTTCATCCTGGAGTTGAAGAAGGTCAGGGTCCTCCTACAGATGCCCCCCCACCAGGGACTGAGGGCCCAAGAACAGGGCTCTCCCACCCCAGATGTACACCAGCCACCCGTGCCTGGGAAGTATGGATGCGTGCGTGTCAGTCACTGTGTCTGCAGACTTTAGTCAGCCCTCAGGCCTTTGCACAGCCTGTGCCTGGGGTCCCCGCCTGGGATGCCCCTCTCTGTCTTTTGTGTGACCCTTACTAATGCCCTCAGCGGGGCTGTCACAGCACCTTCCCAAGCTCCACAGCAATTGCATTCCTGACCCTGCTGCAGTGACTGCACTGTCCCCCACTGCCCACTGCCGCGGCAGTGTCTACCCCCACCCTCCCTCCAGGCTGGGCAGCCCCGGGCCAGAGCAGGTCCTCTCTACCTCAGGCCCAGGCTGGCCTCAGTGGGGAAGCTTTGCCGAGGGCTGGAGTGGATAGGGCATGTGCATGGGCGCTGACATCTGTGTGTTCAACACTCAGGCCTCCAGCCCTTTGGGGGGCGATCCCCTCCACCTGGAATGCCTTTTCCTCTGACCTCAGGAATGTTCCTTTGCTGATGAATCAGGAGGGATGCCTGCGGGTGTGAGGGGCAGGGGAGTGGCTGCAGGCCTCCAAGAGGAGGGGCATGGGACTGCAGCCGCTCACCCAGCCCCTGGCTGACCCAGGACACGGACTATGTGGTCGCCGTGAGGAACTTCCTGCCTGAGGATCCGGCCCTGCTGGCTTTCCACAAGGGTGACATCATCCACCTGCAGCCCCTGGAGCCACCGCGAATGGGTCAGCGCCACACGGTAGGGTGGGGACAAGAGGGGGACCGGGGTCCCCTGGCGGTGCTGACAGAGCCTGGCCCGCAGGCTACAGTGCTGGCTGTGTTGTCCGCAAGAAGGTCGTGTATCTGGAGGAGCTGCGGCGGAAAGGCCCCGACTTCGGTGGGTCCCTGGGGTCCCCCAGTCCAGCCTCTGCTGCTCCGAAAGCTGGCACCTCGAAGTGGAGCTCAGCCCGGTTCCATGCACTCACACTGCAGTGGGTTCCCGGGGCGCCACAGGTGTCTGGCCTGGCTCAGTCTCCCAAGTGCCTGCCGTGGCCTGTCAGGGCCTCCTGGTGGCCATGCGGCCCAGCCCTCGGCCTGCATATCTGGCTGAGGGGTCTTGGTGGCATCAGTGTTTCCATCTTTGTGGCTGAGACCACAAATGCTGCGTTTCCCTGCTCCACCTCCGTTGAGGCAGTGCCGTCTTTCCCTGAGCCCGTTTCCTCATCTGTAACTAGGCTCCCTGGCATGCCTCCCTCCCAGAGCTCTAGGGAGGGGCCGAGAAGCTGCTCAGGTCACCCCAGAGGGCCCCCTTAATCCCAAGAGGAGACCCTCTGTTTGCCTCAGCCTCCTTCCCCGACCCCTAGGCTGGAGGTTCGGGATCATCCACGGGCGCGTAGGCTGCTTCCCTTCCGAGCTGGTGCAGCCTGCGGCTGCCCCTGACTTCCTACAACTGCCAGCGGAGCCAGGCCGGGGCCGGGCCGCTGCCGTAGCCGCTGCCGTGGCCTCCACTGCTGCTGCACGGGAGGTGGGCCGCAGGAGGGAGGTGAGACGGATGGGCCCAGGGCGATGGGGTGGATCCAGCAAGGGGCATCAGCCTGACTGTGGAGGTGGATGGGAGCAAAGTCATCCAAGGGCGTGAACACTCCTGGGATAGGGCGAACCTGGTAGGGCTAGTTGGATATGTGACCTGTGGGCTGTGACCAGAGATGGCTGGAGGTGTGGCCAAGTGGTGTTGGTAAGGGTGGGTCAGCGGAAGGTTGTGACCAGGCCACTGGGCAGGACCAGCCTGGGCCCACTGGTAGGTGAAGTTAGACTGAGATAGGGTGGGCTGGGTGAATGGGGTGGGGTTGGGCCTGTGGAGTGGAGCGAGCGAGGGGTGGGGTGAGGAGCAAGGTCAACCGGGACCAGGCAGTTGGGGAGGCCAGCCCAGGTGGGGAGGGGTCTGGTGTTGGCGTGTGGCCAAGTAGGGCAGGGGGTGGGGTCAGCTGGGTGTGACCAGGCCAAGGAGGTGAGGTCAGGTGAGCAGGGTGGGTCCATATGGGCTGGGGGAGGGGCACAGTCAGCCTGGGGTCTCAGGCAGTCAGCTTTGACATGGGTGGGCAGGCGGGGTGTGGCAGGCTGAGCCCTCTTAGCTCTGGCCTTCCCGCAGGGTCCCCCAGTAAGGGCTGGCTCTGCTGACCGTGAGGAGGACGGCCTGGCTCTCCCACCACACACAATGCTCGAGTTTGCCCAGAAGTATTTCCGAGACCCTCAGAGGAGACCCCAGTGAGTGGTGGCCCCACCCCCCTCCGCACTCTGAGGAGGGTCCTCTTGGGGCGTCTTGCAGCCGTCCAAGTGGGGAGGCCCACCTGCAGCTCAGCTTCTGGAGCCTTCCTGCCTGCTTGACTGACGATGGGTCTAGAACATTCCTGTGTGGGAAAAGGATTTAGCCAAAGGCCCAGAGGCAAGACTGGTCAGTAGCACCCCCTTCCTATTGCAGGGATGGCCTCAGGCTGAAATCCAAGGAGGGTCGGGAGTCCAGAACCTTGGAGGACATGCTTCGCTTCACCAAGGTGTCCACCGCCAGGCCTCAGTTTCCCCCTCTGTAAAATGGTGATATAAGAGCCTCCTCCCAGGCCAGCCTCCTCCCAGGCCAGGACACAAGGCAGACAGCCTTGTGTTTAGCGGGACCTCCCAGGTCTCAGCCCCCGGGGCCTGGATTCTTCCCTGGGGGGCATCTGTCCCCAGTGTTGGCCGGCTCTCTTTTTGTTGTGTGGATCCTCCAGTTGTCGGACATGAGGCGCCTCGAGGCCCTCCTCTGTTCTGACGTGTTCCTCCTCGTCGTGACACAGCTCCTCCCTCCCCTCACAGACACCGCTCCAGGAATCCCTCATCGAGCTCAATGACAGCAGCCTCAACAAGATGGCCACAGACATGTTCCTAGGTGTGGGGGTGGGGCTGCGGCCAGGGCCCTGGGCCGGGTGGGCTCCAGCACTGTGTGACCCCAGCTCATCTCCACTCCTCTGGGCTTCAGATTCTTTCTCTTCCTCCACCTCAGGTGTGGGGCCCCTGTAAGAGAAAAGAAGCCCCCGGCTTCCCGGCCACAGCCTCCTAGTGAGGGGCCCAACTCTGGGGTCCCCTGAGTTGGGTGGGTAGCTGGGGGTCTGGTGGCCTGAGTGGAACAGGTGTTTTCTGCAGCTGTGATGCGGTTCATGGGGGATGCCCCGATGAAGGGCCAGAGTGAACTGGACGTGCTGTGCGCCCTCCTGAAGGTCAGTCCAGCCCACTTTGCCAGAAGCTCCCTTTCCTGCCTTGTGCCTCACTTTCCCCGTCTGACAACCGGAGTTGCAGGACTGTGGAGTGGGAAGCTTCTTGTGTGGCCCAAAGAGGAATGCATCCCGCTGGTGGGAAGGGGCCTAGGGAAGGGACACCAGCCCTATCTCCGAGTGCCCACCCTGTTCTTACGTGCCTGGTGTGTGGCACGGGCCCTGGCCTGCCTCCTACAGCTGTGCGGGAACCACGAGGTCATGCGGGACGAGTGTTACTGCCAGGTTGTGAAGCAAGTCACAGACAACGCCAGCACCAAGCAGTGAGTGTGCTGGGCCTTTGACTCCGTCTTGCCCCTCCCCGACTGTGTCTGTGCCCAGGAGGGGCCGGTTCCGCCTCCCCCTCCCAGGCCTGTCCCCTCTCTGGTTCTCTCTCCCTTACCCTCCTTCTCACTCAATAGACAGGGCATGTGTGTTTGGAATTGCGTGCTCTGGGACAAGCCGTTTCTGCTCTGTGAGCTTCAATTTTCTTTTCTGTAAAACAGCAATCGTAACATGTGAGTCCCAGGTTCTGGGTGCAAGTGACAGACCCAATTCAAGCTGGTTTAGGCAAAAGAGGGTTTGGGGAACTGAAAAATCCACCGTTTGGCTTCAGGTGTAACTGGATCCAGGTGTCATCAGGAAGCAGGTTTTCTCTGTATTCTGGTCCTGCTTTTTTCTGTGTTGATATTATTCCCAAGAAACATCTCCCATAGATTGGCAAGATGGTATCTCTGGGGAGACATTTCCCAGCTCAGCAATCCCAGATAAAACAAGATTGACTCAACGTTTGCAGCAAGAATTCCCAAATCCACTCTTATTGGCCTGACTTGGTCACATGCCCATCCCTGAACCAACCACAACGGCTGGAGGAGACAGAGCTCTGATTGGCTGGACTTGGGTCACATTTCTGCCTCCAAACCAATCCCCATAGCCAAAGGGAGGCTGAACTCTAATTGGCCGGACCTGGCTCCCGTGCCCATCTCCAAACCACAGGGACCTAGGGAGGGGTGGGTGGTTTCCCAAAGGGGGCCCAAGTGCTGTCGCAGACACGAGAGGTCCCCACAAGTGAAACCATCACACCAGGGCAGTGTGAAGGTGCATTGCCGTGTCTTGCACAGGACGCGCACACAGCAGGTGCCCAAAGTGTGCGCTGCTCTCCTTACCTCTGGGCTCCCTCTTATCCCCATCTGCTCCACCCCCTCCACTCACCCTCCACCCCTGGGAGTTTTAGACCCGCTCAGCACATCCTGCTGCCCCTCCAGCCCAGGCCTTACCTGCCCTATCTCTGCACAGCCCCAGCATGTTCCCCTGGCTCTCCTTCAAGGATCTTCACCCAGCAGCTTCTCCAGAGAGGTTCTCCCTGGGGAAGGCTTGTTTCTTTGTGCATGTCGGGCATATCGGGGGCTTCATCCCCTTCCTTTCCTACCTCCCACCCTGGCTTCCCCAGCAGAACATACCTCCTGCGTGGCTTTGGGGCCTCCCTGCCCTGCTCTCACTGGGCGGGGAGGAACATCCTCATAAGACAGGAGACCTCCAGCGCCATCCCAGGAGACTCTTGGCGTGGTGCTTTGGTGCTGTGGCCACCTGTGCTGTGGCCCTGTACGTGTGTCCTTGCAGGGACAGCTGCCAGCGAGGCTGGAGGCTGCTGTACATCGTGGCCGCCTACCACAGCTGCTCCGAGGTCCTCCAGCCACACCTCATTCGCTTTCTCCAAGATGTGAGCCGGACCCCAGGCCTGCCCTTCCAGGGTGAGGGGCCAGCAAGTGGGGACCCAGGGCTGAGGGCCTGTCTGCATGGGGACTGGCCAGGCAGCCAGCAGGAGGGAAACTCAGAGGGCCTGTCTCTTCACAGGTGCCAGGCAGTGTTTACTAATGTGAATTCACTCCCCAGGTGCTTGTGAAGGCCCCGCAGGGGCTGATGCCATGGGTTGTCTGATCAGTAGTTGGCATGTCAGGGAAGGCTTTCTGGAGGAAGTGTTGCTCTGGTCGTGGGCATATGGAAGGGGTTTCTAGTTGGGCTGAGAGGGCAGGAGCAGAGGCCCAGAGGTGGATATGTGTGGCCTGTGGAAGAAGAGGAGAAGAAGGTGACAAGGGCCTGAAGACTGGGCTGAGGCCCTACTTCTGTGGTCTTTGGGAACCAACAAGGCTCTTGAGTGGTCCAGGCAGGGGTGGGCCTAAAAAGCTGGTGGCAGGGTCTTAACCTTTCCCTGCTTGGACTATGGAGGAAAGGGGCCACTCCTCAGCCTTGTTGCCATAGCAACCCCTGGGTTCCCCTGAGAGAGAGGCCAGGGCCCCTGTGGTCACCACGGCAGCCGTGAAGGAGATAGGGGATCGCGCTCTTTCCTCTTCTGAATCCTCGTCTTTGATTCAATTAACAAACTTTCCCAGATTCAGAGATGAATAGACCCAGCTCCAGGGAAGGGCTCTTAGATCCATGAAGGCAGCAGAATGTGCCCTAGAACCCTGGACTCAACCCCTCCCCAGAGCAGGGGGAGGACACTGCTTTACCCAGAGAACCGGAGGAGCAGACGGGGGAGTCCCGCACTGGGACCCTGGGTGAGGGAGGGTGGTTGGCACGGGGGCCCCTCTAGCAGGGACCCAGCCGCATCACCAGCGCCATCACCCAGTCAATGGCTCCTGGGGACAGGTGTTTCCAGGGCTCCTAGGGAGCCAAGGGGACCAGGTGGTGGTGGGTTCGCCCCGGCTTCTGTGCTCCAGCTCTTGACCTCGGGCGGTTCACTCCCCTCTCTGAGCCCTTTCCACAGCTGTCAAATAGGAGAGTAAACGCCTCCCCATGGGTGCGGAGAGAATGCAGTGGGCTCGTTGCTGGCGGCCAGAGGAACCCCTTTTTCCCACAGCCTACCCTGGGCAAGGCCTTGACTCCCTGTCTCTGCAGGGATCGCCAAAGCCTGTGAGCAGAACCTGCAGAAAACCTTGCGCTTCGGTGGCCGTCTGGAACTCCCCAGCAGCATGGAGCTGCGGGCCATGTTGGTGAGTGTGGGGTGGGAGGGGGCGTCGGGATGAGTGTGAGACACAAGCCCTGCCCAGAGACCCCGTCGTGGGCACTCACTGCTTAGAGCCGTGCAGACGGGCCCTGTCAGGTCCAGGTGCACAAGTGTTCCTGTCCAGAGCCCCTCGGCTTGGGGACTCCCATGGCAGGGGACAATGGCTGGCCCAGATCCCAGACCCAGCCTCTCCCGTCTCCTCACTCCTCCTTGTTCCAGGCGGGCCGCAGTTCCAAGAGGCAGCTCTTTCTTCTCCCCGGGGGCCTCGAACGCCATCTGAAAATCAAAACGTGCACTGTAAGTGAAGGACTGTCTCCAGCAGGCAGGCGCAGAGGGGTGGGGACACCCCAGCCTCCAGAGCAAGTTCCAGGGGTACTGAGCCCTCCCGGACTCTCCCACAGCCCCGTCAGGGAGGACTGAGTTCTCAGAAGAGCGAATGGAGCCCCAGGGGCTCAGGGTCTTACTGCAAATAAGGGTCAGAGCCGCATTGGAACCTGAGTCTCTCGACTCCCAAAGCCGTGCTCCTTCCCCGCGTGAGGCTCATTCTCAGAGACCTCGGAGGATCCTTGCCTCTGTGCAGAAGGGCTGAGGAACTCCGTGCTCAGCTCCTGGGGCCTGAGCGGGCTGGGAGGACAGAGGTCGCCCGCTGGCCAGTGCAGCCTCACTCTGCTCCCGCAGGTGACCCTGGACGTGGTAGAGGAGATCTGTGCTGAGATGGCTCTGACACGCCCTGAGGCCTTTGATGAGTACGTCATCTTTGTTGTCACCAACCGAGGTAGGTGACCAGGAGGACTGAGTATGCAGGGCTCGTGCCTGCCACTCGGCCTGTAAGGCCCAGGTCAGATGCCACTTCCTTCAGGAAGCCCCTTGACCCCCATGTGGAAGGACCTCTCTGCACATCGAACATCCCCAGCCCTCCGTCTGTCCCTCTCTGCTTCATTTTGCATAAGTTTGTCTCATCTAGCAGACTGGGAGCTTGTGGAGGACAGGGCCCTCTCTGATTCCTCTCTCTGCCCCTTGGGGTCTGCTCAGTGGGCCCTGGCCTCAAGGAGCTTCCACCCTAGGAAGGTTTCCCTTAATAGGCCCTGACTCCTGGAACCCACAAGCACAAGCATTTTCTCCTGCCTTTTGTGCCTTAATAGTGGCCATAAGAGCGCCCTCCCTTGGTCTCACCAGGCCCTTCTCATGCGGCCCAGAGCGCCGTCCATTTGCTGCCCACCCACTCTAGAAGGCGGTCTTCCCTCTTGCTACCAGCTGGTCGGCTCCATCCACCTCCAGCCGACTCTCCCCACTGCCGCCTCCCCACCGACCGTCTGTCCTCAGCCCTGTTTGCCCCGTGTCCAGCCAAGACGTGGGGAGAGGGGAAGGTGGTAGCAAAATGGTCCCAATACCTGACACATATGGGGCAGATACAACGTCCCAGGCACCGTTCAGAGCATTTAATTCTATAAACTCCTTTAATTCCCACAACAGCTCTGTGAAATGGAGACCATTACCATCTCCATTTACAATGGGGAGGCCGAGGCCCAGGGACTCTGTATTAGTTTCCTGTTGCTGCTATAAGAAATCACCACATACTTAGTGGCTTAAAACAAGACACATTTGTTATCTTATAGTTCTGAGGGTCTGAAGTCCTGAAATCAGAGTGGCGTCAGGGTGGGCTCCTTCTGGAGGCTCTAGGGGAGAATGTTTTTTTGCCTTTTCCAGCTTCTAAATGCTGCCTGCATTCCTTGGCTTGTGGCCCCTTCCTCCGTCTTCAAAGTCAGCAGTGTGGAATCTTCAAATCTCTCTCTCTTTTCCTCTCTCCGACCCTCCCGCCTCCTTCTTATAAGGACCCTTGAGATTACATTGGGTTCTCTTGGATAACCCTGGATACTCTCCCCATCTCAAGATCCTTAACTTAATCTTGTTTGCAAAGTCCATTTTGCCATGAAGGTAACATATTCACAGGTTCTGGGCATTAGGATGTGGATGTCTTTGGGGAGGGTCCGTTATTCAGCCTGCCACGGAGGTTAAGGGACTTAGCGAAGGTCACACAATTGGGATTTGAACCGAGGCAGTCTGGCCTCGAGAGTCTGGGCTTTATCATCATGCCACCCCGCTCCCACCTTTGGTAAAGTTTTCCTGAGAGTGTGGGATGCGGAGCAGAAATGTCAGAGCAGGAAATAAAAACTTAAGCCTCTCCTGTGAGCTCAATGCCAGACCCCAGTCCCCCCCCGCCCCCCCACAATCCAGGAGCCCAGCAAGGGGTATCTTCTGAAGGAGTTCTGCAGACAGGCACCCATTGGGTCTCATGATCTGAGTCCTATTGTGCTTCTCCTTGTCCCCAGCCTCCTCTGGAATGGGGCTGGGCTTTCCCTGAGGCTAAGCCAGGGCTTTTTCCTAGACCCAGTTGGGCTGTGGCTTTGAGTTGGAGTCATTCCCGTCTGTGGTCATCAGCATCCACAGGCACGGGGCACCCTGCTCTGTGCACATGCTCTCCTTTACCGAGGAAGCCGTGTCCCAGAGCGGGGAGGGGGCTTGCCCAAGGGGATGCTTCAACTGGGTGGCAGGTTGGGGTCTGCACATGTGCTCTGCGCAGGTGCAAACACATGCACATGAGCGCCCCCGCCCAGCTGCCCCCGGCTCTCCGCAGGCCAGCACGTGTGCCCGCTCAGCCGCCGCACCTACATCCTGGATGTGGCCTCGGAGATGGAGCAGGTGGACGGCGGCTACATGCTCTGGTTCCGGCGTGTGCTCTGGGATCAGCCGCTCAAGTTCGAGAATGAGCTATACGTGACCATGCACTACAACCAGGTCAGCACGCGTGGGCCACTCTGATGCCCTGGAACCTTCCAGGCTCTCCCAGGCCTGTAAGGTCAGACACCACGGCCTTGGCATTTGAGGCCTTCATGATTCGGGCCCTGCTGGCATTTCTAGCCATGAGGCTTCTGCTCCCCTGCATGGTCAAACCATGTCCCCCTTACTACCTAAGTCTCGGGCCTTTGCACGTGCTGTCACTCTGTCTGGCCTGCTCTTCCTGTGTCTCTGCTTATCTAAGTCCGCCCCTGCAAGGCTCCCCCAAACAGCACCTCTCCCATGAGGCCTCTCTGACTCCCCCTTTCCTGCTGATTTTCTCCTCTGTGCGAGCGCCTGGCCTGTCGCTCGCTCGAAGTCCTGAGCAGGCTTTGGCTGTCATTGTTATTTTTGTCTTTCTATTTTTCCTCTTTGAGACTTGGTTCTCTAAGTCAGGATCGTGGAGTTTACAAAATCTGGTGTCCCCTCCTGGGCTAACATCTGTGGAAGTGCTGGGACAGAGAGCACGTGTTTTTGTGGAAGTGATGCCAAAGCTTTGGCACTTCTGAGTACAGAACACGGTCATGTAGCTTTTCAGGCCGCGTGGTGTTGCTATCGACGACCACCCTGAGCACTCAGTACAGTGCTGGTCAGGGTGTGGCCTTGCGGGCCAGCAGCGTCCCTCGGGACTTGTTAAAATGCACATCCTCAACCCTGCCCCAGAGCTAGTGACTCAGAGTCTGGGGGTGCAGTCCAGCATCTGTTTTAGTAACTCTGGCGCATATGCTCAGTTTTCAGAAACCCCAGCTCAGCAGACACTCCTGCACACCACAGCGTGGATGCCCACACGCTTCCCGGGTCCCTGTGGGACTCCCCTGTGGGCTTCAAGGCCACAGCCCTTGCAGCTCACCCTCACACGCCTCCTTTATCTTTCCCCAAAGCCCAGGAAAGTGACAGGCCCCCCAACCCCAGGAGCAGAGGGGACTGGAACCACTCACGTTGTGTGTCTGTACATCCCTGCAGTTGCATGCCTGAGTGCGTGCCTGCCTGCAGCCCTCATCGGAGTGCTCCTCCGCAGGTCCTGCCCGACTACTTGAAGGGCCTCTTCAGCAGCGTGCCGGCCAGCCGGCCCAGCGAGCAGCAGCTGCAGCAGGTGTCCAAGCTGGCCTCCCTGCAGCACCGCGCCAAGGACCACTTGTTCCTGCCCAGTGTGTGAGCACCGCCCCTGCCAGCCCGGCTCCCAGGCTCCCCTCTTGCACAGTGAGGCTTTGTGGAAAGGGGCTGGCCTGGCCTGGAGCTGAAGGCCTCCAGCTCGCCTGTGAGCTGGGTCCCTACCTCTTTGCACCACACGTCACTTCTGCCTGGTATTAGTAGCTCAGAGCAAAGTTTCTGATCAGAAAGCTTTCAGGACACACACCCTCTGTGGTCTAGGAAACACACGTGCCCATGCAGAAAGATTTGCTCACAGAAGCGTTCACCGTGGTGTCGCCTACAACAGCAATCTCCGTCTCCAACAACAGGGGATTCCTTAAATAAATTCTCGGGCATTAGGCAGCCTTTAAAATGAGGTTCTCAAAGAGGTGATCACTTAGTCATTCGCAAACTTTTGGTCTCAGGACCATTTTACTTAAAAATAGGACCCCTAAGAGCTTTTGTTTATGTGGGTTGTATCTACCGATATATTTACCCTATTCAAAATTAAAACTGAGAAACAATTTAAAGTATTGATTTATTAATTCAAAAATAAGGATAATACATGTTAATATAAATAACTGTAATAACTATAATTATAATCATATGTAATAATTATAATACAAATAATATAAATTAACATTACATGTTAATGTAAATAACTTATGAAAAAACAACTGTATTTTCCAAAAAAATTTAGTGAGAAGAATGGCACTGTTTTACATTTTGCAAATCTCTGCCATCTGGCTCAATAGAAGACAGCTGGATTCTCCTGTCTGCTTCTGCCGTCAGTCTGTTGTGATCTCACGTGTCACGTAGCCGCTGAGAGGAGGGAGGGAGAGGCAGACAGGGTCCCAGTGTCACTGTGGATGCGGCTTTGACCTCCCAGACCCTCGCCGTACTTGGAGAACTCCTGGTGTGAATAATAGTAAGATGATGTATGTACAGTGCATGTTCCAGTGTCCAGAGCACAGTAAGGGCTCAATATGTAAAGCTCTTTTTATGTTCTAATTCTAAGCAAAAAGCACAGGAAGCACACAAAGGTATAATCTCCATCCTGGAGGAAAATAATCATTGACTTCTTACTTTTTGCAAGGCACTCTGCACACATTATCTCAGCTAATCTTCCCAGCCGCACTTTGTTTTCCGTTTCACAGATAAGGAAACTGAGGCCCAGAGAGGTTACATGGCCTGCTGAAGTTTACCCAGCTAATAGGTGGGGGAGCCAGGATCCAAACCGGGGGAGGCTGGGTCCTGATGCCAGGCTCTCACCCCAGCAGTGCAAAGATGGAAAGATGTTGCCGGTAGCGGGGGAAGGGAGTTCCCCTGACTTTCTGCCAACACTTCCCTAGTCTGCAGCCAGGGCAGCTCATGGTCTGGGACTGCTGCTGGTATTTTTCAGATGTCCTGAGAGGCAAAGGGGCTGCCCTGAGGGAGCCAGCATGTGTCAGACAGAAGGGACTAGAGCAGGTGGGGGTGCTGATGGCCCTGGGGAGCCAGCCTGGAGCCAGTGCTCCTCTGCGCCACGCTCTGACCAGCCGGTGGTGGTTGCTTTGCCCACCCTGATATCTCCCCCACCCGTGTGTTTGTCACCCCTCTGGCCTGGGTTTCTCCTTGGAGGCAGGGGCTACGAAGAACAAAACCGCCTTGGGTTGAAGTCTCGGCTCCCGACTCACTTAGTCACTGTGTGGACTTGGACTAGCTGGTGAATCTCTCAGAGCCTCAGTTCCCTCATCTTCAAACAGGGAGCCTAGTGGTACTGGCCGGCGATTATTGAGTGCCTGCTGTATGCCAAGGCACTGTGTGAGCACTTGACACCCATCTTAAACCTGTCTGCACTCCCCGGCGTTTAGTCTACCAGGGGATGCAAAGATCACATCCATTTTGCATAACATCTGCCTCGCAGTGAGGACAGAATGAGACTGCGTGTGCAGAGCGCTTGCGGTGGTGAGCGCTCAGGACCACCTTTCCCTCCACACTCAGGCGAGAGGTCCAGGAGTACATTCCGGCCCAGCTCTACCGCACCCTGGCCGGCTCGGCTTGGCTCAACCTGGTCAGCCAGCACCGACAGCAGACGCAGGCGCTCAGCCCCCACCAGGCCCGTGCCCAGTTTCTGGGTAAGAGTCCAGGCTGGGGGAGATAATCATGGGGGGCTTTGCTGAGGAGGGGATCCTGGAGGGCGGGGATGGAGGCACCTTGTCCTGTGCACAAAGGCATTTTCCGTGTTAGCCAAGCTGAGCACCTACCTGGAGAAAACCCCTTTTTAAAATTTTCAGCACGGCACCAGCTAGGCTCGGGGTGGCCCTGGGTGGAGACAGCTGGCGCCAGGTGAGGGAGAAGAGCAGGGATGGAGGCGGGTGCCAGGATGGGGAGGCTGCAGGCATGGGAGGAGACCCGGACAGAGGGCTCACGTGCTGGACGCAGCTGAGGGCGGGCGCTCGGGTCAGGGCCGTGGCTGTGCCTGTTGAGCCGTGCTGTCGCGCTGACCGCCGCCTCCCCGCCCCAGGCCTCCTCGGCGCCTCGCCCATGTTCGGCGCCTCCTTCTTCTTCATCCAGAGCTGCAGCAGCATCGCTGTGCCCGCCCCCTGCATCCTGGCCGTCAACCAGAACGGCCTAAACTTCCTCAGCACCGAGACCCACGTGAGTGGCCTCAGCCTGGCGCTGCCCCTTGCCCTCCTCCTCCGAGAGGCCGAGGTCCCCACTTACTCCTGTGTGACCTTGGGCAAGTCTCTTCCCGTCTCCAAGCCTCACCTCCTCATCTGGAACGTGGGCACGGTAGTGGAACCCACCCCGGGGGGCTGTGTGAAGGTGAAATGAGGTAGACCTCACGCTGAGCGCGCAAATGGCGTCTGAGTCTCACAGGCCCTGTGACAGGAGAGCGCGGACTGGGCGCTGCAGCAGCAGACAGTTACTCCTCACACTCCGGAGGCTGCGAGTCCGAGATCAGGGTGCTGGCGGGGCGTTCCCTCTGAGGCCTCTCTCCTTGGCCCGTGGATGCCGTCGTCGCCCTGCGTCCTTTCTCTGCCTGCACATCCCTGGTGTCTTTGTTTTGTCTGAATTGCCTCTTCTCAGAAGGACACCAGTCAGATTGGACTCAAGCCCACCCTGACTGCCTCGTTTTACCTTCATCACCTCTTTAGAGGCCCTGTCTCCCATGACAGTCACATTCTGAGGTACTGGGAATTAGGACTTCAACATATGGATGGGGGGACACACAATTCAGTCCCTAAAAAATAGGACTTCTGGGCCAGCCCTGGTGACCTAGCGGTTAAGTTCAGCGTGCTCCACTTCGGCAGTCTAGGTTCAGTTCCCAGGCGTGGACCTACACCACTCGTCTGTCAGTGGCCATGCTGTGGTGGTGGCCCACATACAAAAAGAGGCAGACTGGCACAGATGTTAGCTCAGGGCCAATCTTCCTCAGCAAAAAATAGAGCTGCTTTTTTCAGTTCTTCCCCCGGAAGTGGACCCTGAGATGAGGACTCCAGGGCAGGTGGTTTATGTGGAGGTGATTCTAGGAAACACTGGAGTGAGGAGGTGAGACCCAGAAGGGACGGCTCACCCACCTTGGGAACACGCCTTGGGAAGGGTGTGTTAGCAAGCAACTTTCCGCTGTGGGAGCTGGCGCTCAGTCCGGCTGGGAACCCTGGGAGACAGCGTGGAACACCCCCCTCAGAGGACGCCCTCCATCCTGGAGCGAGGGAGCCGCGGTGTCTCTCCACCCCATCGCCCTCTGTCATTCATCAAGGCATTAAGTCTTGTCCTTCTGGCTTTCCCTGCATGCACTCTGAGTTTGCTCCTGGGGCCAGAAAGAAAGCTCCAAAGAGATGCAGGTGTTAGAAGCAGCTTTGATGTGAAGGTCGGCACCACCGGCATCTTCTGCATTCCTGGATCCCGGTAGATGTGTTTGTTGCGTCGGTATTTGTTGAATCAATTTTACCAGTGAGGAAACTGAGGTCCAGAGACGTAAAGCGACTTGCTCCAGGTCACACAGCAAGTCCCTGGGGAACTGGTACTCGAACCAGGGTGTCCTGCCTCCTACTGATCTGATCTACAGGAGAGGGGTAAGGGTGGGTGAGACTGTCCCATCTGCAAGCCTGTCTGCTCTCTTCCCCCTAGGAGCTGATGGTGAAGGTCCCCCTGAAGGAGATCCAGTCGATGCGGACCCAGCGGCCCACGGCCAGCTCCAGCTCCCCCTATGTGGAGCTCGCCCTGGGGGATGCGGCTGCCCAGCGCACCATGCAGCTGCAGCTGGAGCAGGTGGGCCCCCACCTGCCCCCAGGCCTTGTTGCCCCGTGCCACCCTCCCTCATTGAGCTCACCGGGCTCTCCTCTGGGCCTGCCTCCAAGATTGGTCAGTCCTGGCTGTGCTTCAGGGAGTGTCCAGCCCAGTGCAGGAGACAGAGCTAACCTGACACTGCACAGGACCATGGGTCATTACGGGGCTCTCCCAGCGAAGCAGCCTGGTGGTGGGGTCATGGCAAAGGGCCCAGGTTGTTTGCAGAACAGTGAGGAGTTTTATGGGGAACTGGAGAGAGACAGCCAGGGCAGGGGAGGTCTTGAAGGTCCCTGAATTTCAACCTAAGAATTTGGGGCTTTCTCATGAGGGCACTAGGTAGCCTTAGAAAGTTGGTGAGAGGGCAGGGACACAGGAAGTTTGAGGAAGTTCCCCTGGGCTGAGGCTCAGATGGATTGTGGGGCCTGGGATTGAGGGTTGTGACAGACAGGGAAACAGGCCCACCCTGTCCCTTCTCATATTTGTAGCAGCCGTGGCTGCTTTTAACAGGCAGGGGCGACCTCTCGGCTCCTGTCCCAGTCTCACAGCCCCTGCAGGTGGGGCAGGACCAGAGTTCTCACCCCACTGGAGAGAGGATGGAGGCTCACAGAATGGGCAGAATCAGGGCTAGGGTCCACACGTGTCTGCCCTTTTCTGCCCACCTCATCCCCCCTCAAGGTCTGGGCCCAGGACCACCCCCTATGCCAAGACCTGCCTTGAAGGGGTCAATTTCCCAGGGCAAGAGAGAGGGGTTTCCACTGCTCCAGCCCTGCCCCTGAGGCACAGGGCCAGAACAGAGCCCCCTTGGCCCCCTGCACCCCTGGGAGATCCTGCAACTCCAGACCAGGCTCCCCAGTCCACTTCCCACTGCGTCCTAGTCCTGCTGCCCCTGAGGCTTTCAAAACCATCTCTGCCGTGACAGCCCCATATTTCTGTCTCCTGCCCTGACCCCTCAGCATCTCCCTTGAAAACCAGCAGGCCTCTCCACCTTCCCTCCCAGCTCTCACCGGGCTCCCAGGAGCACTTTTCACCTTGTCCCCTCCTCTCATTGTCTCTCTGGCCTCTGCTCTCACCCCTCTCTTCTCTGCTGGCTCGCTGGCAGCCCTGGCCTCGTCCAGCTCTCTGATGCCGAGCTTGCCCTCGTCTCCCTGCCCCAGACCCTTTGCACTCACTATCCCCTCTGCCTGGAATGCTGGCCTCCGGGTCATCACAGGGCTCCCTCCCTCCTTTTCTTCAGGTTTCAGCACAAACATCGTCTCCTTCTGGAAGCCTTCCCTGACGCTCCTCCCCGATAATCCACTCTCTCTGCCTCCGTAGCCCCCATTATGGGTTGCAAACCATTTAGTGATTTGTTTGTTTGCGTATTGTCTGTCTCCCCCACCAGAATGTCAGCCCCAAGAGAGCAGGACCATGTCCACAGCACAGTGCCTGGCATGGAGCAGATACTCAGGAAGTGGATGGACGGAGGCCTTTTTGGCTTCTCTGTTTCCTTGCAGCCCCCCAACCTCTTTATGCTGCCCCCTCTGCCTCAGGCATGTATGTGGAAGGGGCAAGCATTTATTCATTCATCCATTCATTCAACACATACCCACTGAGCCTCTCTAGGTAGCAGGCTCTTACTGGCTCAGGGATACTGAAGTGACTGGGGGGAAGTAACAGGGGGGCTGGCCCCATGGCTTAGCGGTTAAGTGCACGCGCTCCGCTGCTGGCAGCCCAGGTTTGGATCCCGGACGCGCACTGAGGCACCGCTTGTCAAGCCATGCTGTGGCGGCGTCCCATATAAAGTAGAGGAAGATGGGCACAGATGTTAGCCCAGGGCCAGTCTTCCTCAGCAAAAAGAGGAGGATTGGCATGGATGTTACCTCAGGGCCGATCTTCCTCACACACACACAAAAATAATAATAAAAATAAATAAAATTAAAAAAATAAATGAAGTGACTGGGACCCCCTAAGCCCTGGTTCTCACAGAGCTGTGAGTCTCATGGGGGAGACTGACATCAAAGAATCTTTCCAATAAACCATGACCAGTGCCAGGAGGGCATATGTGAGCTATCTGGGAGGTAATCAGGAAAGGCTTCCAGGAGGAGGTGATGTTTGAGTGTAGCAGGAATGTAGCCAACAGACCTGAGTCTCCATCCCACCTACTCTGCCAAGCTGTGTGAGGGGGTCTCAAGGCAACCCCACTTCATATTGAGCCTCAGTTTCCACACCTGTCAAGAGGGGCAGCAGCCCCAGTGAACCTGGCGCACTGCAGCATGTGGGTAGGCAGAGGATCGGCTGGAGGGGAAGACCTCGTCATGCACACCCTTGTCTCAGTAGCCGAGGTGGCCCCTGGGGGGGCAGGCATAGCTCACCACAGCAAGGAGCACCTCAGAGCATGGCCGTGGCCTCTTGCCACCTGGGTTCAGGTCCCCACGCCTGCCAGCTGTGAGCTCCGGGGCAAGTGGTTTCGTGGCTCGGGCCTTAGTTTCCTCGCCTGTGGAATGGGCTCTAAGAGCGTCTGCCTCACAGGAACGCTGAGGGGACTGGAGGGGTGTGACAGGACGCTCCCAAGACAGTGCTGGCTCGGTAGCTGCCCAGTGAGCGCCACCTTGTTCTTCTCCGCGTCTCAGGGCAGCTTTCAGCAGGAACTTCCCGGGGGGGTCCGACACTGGCTGTGGTGTGAGAGCCGCGTGCACAGCTCCCCGCTCCCCCCCGGCCCCCCCACAACCAGGAACCCTGAGGCGGGTCCAGCTTGTTCTAGGCTGTGGGTGCCAGGTGGTAACCATGGCAACACGTAGTCAGAAACTGTTACCAGCTATTGACTGGACTAATATTTTTAAAATCTAAAGAATTTACAGGTAATAAAATTTTATGGAATCCTCAGCACAGCCCTGTGAGGCAGGCCCTGGTAAACTGAGACCCTACAGATGAGCCCACTGAGGCTCAGAGAGGTGAAGGAACTGGCCCGGGGCCACACAGCTCTTGCGCAGCAAAGTGGGCACCGTGCCTGGTCTCCTGCCGGCTCACCCCTCCCAGCCTGCGCCAACGTCACTCCTGCAGCTTCTCACGTCCTCCCAGTGTCCTGGGGGAGGGGGCCGAGGCTGGAGCCCGCCTCGCTGCCACCCACACCTCACCCCCAGGTGAGAGTCAGGGAGGAGGTGAGTGGGTGTGGACCCTCACTGTCTCCCCACAGGGCCTGGAGCTGTGTCGCGTGGTGGCTGAACACGTGGAGAGCCTGCTCAGTGCCCGCGAGAGGCGGCTCACGCTGCCCCCCAGCGAGATCACGCTGCTCTGATCCAGCGCCCAGTCCTCCAGCCGCCCTCTGCCAGAAGGCTTGCCGTGTGCCCCCAGGGGAGTTCCTGGGCCTCTCTGGGCCAGTGACCCCTATAAGGGGCCAGAACCTTGGGGGACACCAAGAGGAGGTAGGAGGAGTAACCCAAGTCCCCAGGAACTGGAGAAGACCCATCCAGAGGTGGGATGGAATTACAGCATGCAGACTTGGGTCAGATAGCAAGAGGAACTTTTGAAGGCTGGCCAGTGGGCCTCCTGCCACGTTCCCCTGTGGGCCCTGCCCCTGACTCCTGCCAGTGGCAGGGCAGCCCCACACCAGGGTCTAGACAAGCTGGACTTCTCCTTTGGTTTGCCCAGGGTCTGACGTTCAGGTCTGCTCCAGCTCCACAGCCCAGCCTCTCACAGGTCCTCCTCGGGTGCCCCCTCCACTGCCGCTCAGCTTGGATTTGTGACCCTTGGTCATTTCTGTGCAGATAAAAGGTGTGCCTGGCAGCCCTTTTTCCAGAGTTGCTGAGTGGCTGGAGAACAAGCCTGAGGGAGGAGGCGGGAGTTGGAAATCCACTTGTACCCTGGGCACTGCCCATGAACAGAGCTTCTGCAGAGACATCTGTCCTTACCTCTCCCTGCAGACCCCTGTGCTCCCACTCCACAGTCAGGTAGCCCCAACCCCAGGCCCCCATCACTGGATGGGCCACACAAGGTTCAAGAGTGGTATAGTGGAGGGAGAGAGATATTTTTGTGTAAAGTGCTGGGGAGGGAGAAGTCTGGGAAGGGGCTTTCCAGAGTGGGACATTGGAGTTGGGTTATGAAGGATGAGAAGGAGTTTGTTTCTCCTAACAGAGAAAATGGTATTTTTTCCCTAGGACAGTGTTTAACACAAAGTAAGCACTTAAAAAATACTTGTCACATGACTGAAAAAATAAATAAATGATTGAATCTTAATGGAAAGTGCTGGTGCTTTGGGGAACTTGTGGGGGAGGGGAGCACTAGGCTCAGAATAGGAAGGCTGGATAGGTATGTGAGGGCATAATTGGCTGGAGCCATGGTATCAGAGGAAGGATTTATTTACTCATTCACTACCTACAAAGCACCTACTGTGTGCTACACATGTGCCAGGCACTGGGAGTTGCTCACAGTTAAATAACTATAAACCAGGACAAGACTTGTGAGTAGGAGTTAGTTAGGTGATGAGAGGAGGGAACAGCATTCCAGACAGAAGGAACAGCATGTGTGGGGACTCTGAAGTGGATATTACTAGGGAGTGGACATTCCTTGTAGTAGGACTTGAGACTGAAGAGGCTGCAGGGGTGGGTTGGGGAAGGCTTTGCAGGCTACACTAAGGATTTAGGATTTCATCCCAAGAGCCATGAGGAGGCTTCAAAGGTTTTTCAGTGGGAGGTGGGGCTGGGGCACTCTGCAGATTGTACTTTGGAAAGGTCATTCTGACCACAGAGCAGAGTGAACGTAGGAGGCAGGGAGCCCAGAGGAGAGGCTGCTGCAGCATCACCTAGAAACCGTGGCGTGGACACTGGTGGTGGTGACAGGTGGGGAGGAGAGAGATAATCTCTCTCGGGAGAAACTTAGGAGGTCCAGCAGGCAGGACTAAGGGATCAATCGAATGGTCCTGAGACCGGGAAGGTCAAGGAAGAGCCCTCTACACATATGCCACAGGGCTGTCCCATTACTGCCGCCCTAGGTTGGCTTCCTCCAGAAGCCAACCTGAGACGAGGAGTCCAGTGCACGGAGCTGATTTGGAAGGTGAGGGAGGCGGGGAAGGATCCAGAGAGTGTGTTATCCATCACATTACCCCTGCTGCAGCAGCTCTGCCCAGGTGAGAGGTGAGCGGCCTTTTGGGCTTCAGAATCCAAGTGGGCCGTGGGAGCCACTTGGAAGTGCGTCCTCCAGGTCGACCTGCCCCGGCTGATGCGTGTGGAACAGAGAGGGGCCCCCGGGTGAACCCTGGCCGGATCTGTGAGATGGATAAGTGACTGAGGTCTAGGTTTTGGGGTGGTTTGTTACAGAACACTGGACAACCAGAACACCGGACAACCAGAACACCGGACAACCAGAACACCGGACAACCAGAACACCAAGGCTTTTGGATTTTAGGGCCTGGGCCTTAAGGCATAAGGCTCATGTTTCAACAGCTGTTCTGGTGACTCTGTGGTGGCATCAGAGAGCCAAGCCCTTCTAAGAGGAGGCAACAGTCCTCATGAGGCAGAGTGGGAAGAGTCAGGGGTGGCAGGAAAGTCCTATGTCCCACAGACACCCTAGGTGTACCACACTGGGCCTCCCCACCGGGCCAAGACACAGGACAGGAACTCCAGGTCGATGTGGGGAGATCCAGAGCAGAGGCGACCAAACCCCAGGGTTCCTAGCCTAGCATGGGGTGTGAACAATACAAGAGAAATATCTAGGTGGCATGGGAGCCTGAGACAGTCAACTGGTGAAGGCTTGGGATCCCAGAGGGGTGTGGCAGGATGGACCATATCTGGGTGCTGCAGGGTGACCGAAGGATCTCATTGCTGCCCCCATGTGGTACATGGGGCTGGACTTGGCCAGATCCCAGTGTCCACATACTCACCCCTCTGGTCTCCCCCTGCCCAGGGGTGCCTCCTCCTGCTCAGGACCCAAAAGCCTCTTAAGACAGTTTTGGCTTGGTAGTTGAAGGCCCAGGCTGTGGAGCCAGAGGCCTGTGTTCAAATTCCACATCTGTTTATTGATTAGCTGTGTGGCCTGTTGCAAATTTCTTGCACTCTCTGAGCTTCTGCTTCCTTTTTTATAAACTGGAAGCATTGACAGAAGCTTTAGGGCAAGTGCTTTCTAAGTGGTCATTATAATGTCCAGCATAGGATGCGAATGGATATCTGGGGTCAGGAAGACTTTTTTTTAAAGCTAATTCTTATCAGGTTTTTACTATGCACCAGGCACTGTACACGTACTAACCAATTTAAGCCTCAAAATACCCCAATGAGGTGGGTACTATTATCATCCTTTTATATATGGGGAAACTGAGGCCCACAGAGGTGAAGCAAGTAACCACTAAGTGGCCTAGCCAAGATGCAGACGCAGGGAGGCTGACTCCAGGGTCCATGCTGTCTCTCACTGTGCCTCAGAGAAGGGAGGGCCCTGGCTCCAGAGCACAGTCAGGGAGGAGCACGTGGATGCTTCCGAGGGGGTCTTTCGGGTGGGAGGGGCTGTTGAGACCTAGAGCAGAGGTGATTCCAATTTTCGCCTCTGTGAGTGGAGCCGGGCCCCATAGAGGAGTCTCTGGGAGGACTTGCTGAGGACTGAGGTAGTGAGCTCCCTGTCAGGCGGGTGTGTGAGCAGAGTCTCAGGCCACCCTGTTGCAGGGCAGTTGAGAGATGAGCGCTGGGCTTCTGACGGGCCTGAGCCCTCACAGCTGAACCGTCCATTATGCAGGCAAGGGGGTCCTGCCCAGGTGTCCACATGGTACAGCCCAGGCCGCCTGGCCCCCGACTTGCCCACTGGCCACCTTCTGCCTGCCTGCAGCTGCCTTTCTACCTCCATGACCACCCATGCCCCACTAGGCTGTGGCAAAGCGGCAGGAGCCCAATTTACTACAGGCTTCGTACCTGCCCCATTTTTTCCCCTGCACCTGCTGCTGCTGCTCCTTCTTGGGAGGGAGGGTGGCCGGGTCACTACATAACCCCCACCTCTCAACAGAGATGGGAGGACCCTCAGTTTACAGATTCGGAAACCGAGGCCCAGCTGGAGGTCAGCAATCCCCTCTGCTTACCATACATGACTTTATTACATCCTCACGACCACCATATGAGGTGGGTGCTAATGTTATTCCCCGAAATTCAGAGAGGAGAGGCCACTTGTCCAGAGTCATACGGCCTCTCATGAGGTCAAGATTCAAACCCATGTCTGTCCGATTCGAGTCTGTACTTACGCCCTGACATGCTGGCGCAGGGGCAGGGTGCCAGGAAGGCCCAGAGACATCCTGGCCGGGAGCAAAATGGCCAGGGAGGTGAAGCTGAAGGCACTTCCAGAGGCCAGATCTACAGGCTAAGATGTATTTCGTTTCAGAGAGAATCTGGGAAGGCTGCTAGAAAGAGGTGAGCTGAGCCTCAAAAAATAAAAATGAAGGAGACGGGTGGAAAGGAACTGGCATTCCAGGTGGAAGCAAGAGCCTGGGCAAAGTCCAGGAGGTGTGACACGGTATGTTTGCAGACCTGGCAGTGCCAGGACGAGGCTGGGGCTCAGCGTTCCTGGAGCGGAGACGGGGCAAGGCCAGAAGGGTCTTGAACGCCAAGCAAAGCCGCTGAACTTTATCCTGGGGCGCCACGGGAGCCTTTCCAGAAGCCCGCGCCTGTGGCCCGGCCCGCGCGCAGCCCGAATTGCCGCGCCTCTGCTCCCGCCGAGCACCTGCCCGATCGTACTGCTTCCTAACTGCTGAACTGTCTCCAGTCATTCTCTACAGTCCTGCCTTATCCGTGCGCCTACTCGTCCCCTGGAGTTTTCTTCCGCCCTTCGGGAAGATGTGCGCCCCCACCCATCTCTAGCCCAGGGAGGAGCTACGCCACCCGGCGGCGCGTGCCCGCGGCTGCGCACGCGCCCGCCGCCCCCGGGACGTGACTCGTGGAACGTCCACTCGCGGCGGCGGCGGCGGCGGCGGCGGCGGCGGCAGGGGGCCAGGGAGGCGCCCCGACACTGCGTCCAGCTTCTGCGGCCGTCGTCGTCTGGGTTCAGAGCTGTGACTTAGTGCTCTCCGTCGCGCAGTTTGAGAAGTTTACGCCGGTTTCAGAAGTTTCCTTAAGCGTCTGAGGGCTTTCCTCCTGTGGGATCTCCATTCAGGCATACATTTAGCCACCCATTCACCCTTCAGGGGTCCTCACCGCCCTCCCTGCCCTCCCGCGGCTAATTAAGTGACGGGCGCAGTAGCCTAGGCGACCGCCTGATTGACAGGCATGATTACCAACCAACTTCCGGAAGATCCCATCTGGGCCCGCCCGGCGCGTGGCCGGTGGCCCAATGAAAGGAGAAGAAGCGCCAAAAGGGGCGGTAACGCGGCAGCGTAGGTTGTGGCGGTTCCCTGGTGATTGCGCGCTAGGAGCTGAGGCGTTTGCGGGCGTTCGAACGATGCCGTGACGCAGCATAGCGATAGCGTTGACAGCGCGAGCGCACCCCGGTGGAGGGAGCCCTTCGGTCGCGGACGTGGCGCGGCTTGGAGACAGATTGCTATTTGATACTTGAAGGTGCTCCCTCGAAGCCCTCAGTGAGTGGGGGAGGGGCGGCGGAGGATGAGCGGTCCCCGTCTGCGCTTGCGCCGGCACCTCTGTTGACCCGGCCCGCACGCGCGCGCATGCTCGCTGCGCGCGGAGCCGCGGTGGCCGGCAGCACTGCGCGTGCGCGCTGAGGAGCCCGCTGAGGAGCGGCGCTGGCGGACGTCGGGCGGGCGGCCCGTGACGTCGTGAGGAGCGCTTTAAAGTGCGGGCCGGGCCGGGCGTCCGAGGGTCTGGCCGAGAGTCAGGCCGAGCCTCTGCAGCCGCCCTCCGCGGCATGAGGTGCTGCCGGCGCCCCTGCCCCCCAGGACGTGGAGAAGGTGGAGGAGGAGGAAGCCCCGTTGCCGCCGCCGCTGCATGACCTGCCGCCCCTGAGTCCGACCCCACGCCCGGCCCCTCGACGCCCTCGCCAGGTCCTGCGGCCTCGCATGGGGGCCTGGCGCTGAGGCCCTCCCTCCCTCCGGGGCCCGGGGCGCGTCCCCCGAGAGCCATGCCCGGCCGCCCCGCCCGCCCCGGAGGACCCTAGAGCAGCGTCGCAGGGGCCATGGCGGCCGCCAGCGGTTACACGGACCTGCGTGAGAAGCTCAAGTCCATGACGGCCCGGGACAACTATAAGGCGGGCAGCCGGGAGGCAGCGGCCGCCGCGGCCGCCGCCGTGGCCGCCGCCGCCGCGGCCGCCGCCGCCGCCGAGCCCTACCCGGTGGCCGGGGCCAAGCGCAAGTACCAGGAGGACTCGGACCCCGAGCGCAGCGACTACGAGGAGCAGCAGCTGCAGAAGGAGGAGGAGGCGCGCAAGGTGAAGAGCGGCATCCGCCAGATGCGCCTGTTCAGCCAGGACGAGTGCGCCAAGATCGAGGCCCGCATCGACGAGGTGGTGTCCCGCGCCGAGAAGGGCCTGTACAACGAGCACACGGTGGACCGCGCCCCGCTGCGCAACAAGTACTTCTTCGGCGAGGGCTACACGTACGGCGCGCAGCTGCAGAAGCGCGGCCCCGGCCAGGAGCGCCTCTACCCGCCGGGCGATGTGGACGAGATCCCCGAGTGGGTGCACCAGCTGGTGATCCAGAAGCTGGTGGAGCACCGCGTCATCCCCGAGGGCTTCGTCAACAGCGCCGTCATCAACGACTACCAGCCCGGCGGCTGCATCGTGTCTCACGTGGACCCCATCCACATCTTCGAGCGCCCCATCGTGTCCGTGTCCTTCTTCAGCGACTCCGCGCTCTGCTTCGGCTGCAAGTTCCAGTTCAAGCCTATCCGGGTGTCAGAACCGGTGCTTTCCCTGCCGGTGCGCAGGGGCAGCGTGACTGTGCTCAGGTAACCCACCTGGGAGGAGGGGGCGCCCTGCATCCTGCGGCCGTAGGCTGCCCACCCCGACTCAGGAGGCCCCAGCCAGTAGGAGCCGCGCTTTTCACAGTTCATGCCCATTTTTCTGTTTGTAGGAGGGGCGGGGAGGGGAAAGGAGTCTGCTTTTAAAACGTGTATACGTAGTAAGAAAGCAGGGAGGGGTCAGGGAACCGATCTAGAATTCTGTATCCCAAAGGCAGATTTGACGTGATCACGGACTTGACTGAGAATTAATCTAAAGGCGTCTTTTCAGAAAGCTGAGATTTTAGGAGTCTCTTTCCTTTTGTGATTTTAGCAAGTCACTTTTCCCTTTTGGGCCTTTATTTCCAAATCTGTGTTTAAAAAGAAGTGAGTTGGACTTACTGTTTAAAAGCGTTTCCAACTTTGCCGTGCTTGGTTTTCTTAACAGAGAAAATGTTCATGGACTTCTTAAGAGTAAATACAGAGGAAGGCTCCTGAGTGTACTTAATTGATACACAGCTCTCCATTCCTAAGAGAGGGAGTGACTTCCCTGGAATTGAACAGATCAGTGATTGGGCCAGGAGTGGAGTGCAGCACACTCTTAAAATTCAGCTCCTGTTGGCTGCGGAAGGTCCCATCGGTCCTTTGTAAGAACCTGTTATCTGTTATCAGGACCAAATGAAACAAAATAAAACTGGTTTCTTTACCTGGAATTTGGCCTTGTGGTTATGTCAGCAGCAGAACTTAGGTTCTTGGCCTATTTTGGGTCCTAGATCCTGCTGAGAATTAGCTCAGTGCCCTGGCCCCCAGGGAAGGTTGCCTGCTGGAACACCTTTGTTGTTTATATAAAGCAGAAAATTTATTTGGAAACTGCCTCCTTCCAGCCCTGAAATAAGTACATCTAGCAATGTACTTCAGTAATCCTTAAAACCTCTTAGGAGATCTAGATTGCAGCTGTTCAGAATGGCTTGGTTGGCCACCCAATTCTAGTACGGGATCAGGACACACTGAGGTTTTGTTGTGAGCAGCTTAATCTGTGAGGTGCGGTCAGTGCCATAGGCCACAGTCATGGGGAAAAGTGGGGTCCCTGGAGCCCTCTTACTACCATGAGCAGGCTGTCTGTCTCATTTGAGTTGAACAGCTGAGGCTGCTTCCGTATCTGGGGATGGCAGTGGAGCCTCGTGATATCCAAGGTCTCCTGATGGGAAGTTTGGGAAGTCAGTGGCAGCAGAAGCAATGCTTCGGCTTCCTTGTGCATCTCAAACTTAGAGGGCCACTTATCTGTCAGATGCCTCTTTGTCATTTGGGCTTCCGAGCTTCTCCTCAGGTCTGCACATGGTGCTCCCAGATTGATGTCTTAGCAGAGCACTTTAAGATGGAGTTTCCAGGGCATGCCTTACCAAGTGGCTTGCTGTGTGAGATAGCTTGGTGTCTGACTTCACTGAAGGGCGCCGGGTGCTAAAAGGGTCTCACACAAGGGCCGTTTGGTCTCTTATTGGGATATTAATTTTCCACGTAGTCGCGGGCCCTCAGGGTTGTCGTCAGGAGGTCTGACAGTGGGCAGGTGTGTAATGGGGAGATCACAAGAGGCAGTTTGCGACGTTGAGGCTCCTCCTCCCGCTGTATACACGCGCAGCCCTGTATTGAAGAGCAGAAGTTCCAAGTTCTGAAAATGCAGGTCTGTTAGTGATCAGCAACAGGATTGCATCATCAAGAAAATTCTCATCTTTTCCTTAGAATAGTCAAGTCCTAAAGCTTTCCCAGTCCCTTCCAACCCTCCTGGTTCAGACTTGGCTGTGGAGTCAGTGTGAGAGGCTCAGCCGTGTCCTGAGAAGTGCTGCCCCAGGCTTTGCATCCAGCTCTCGTTTGCTCTGGGATCTCGTGGGTGTTCTCTGAGCTGGCTTTCCCATCTATAAAGGGGATGATACCAGCTTCTAAAGCTTACTGGAATTAAATGTGGGGATTTGGTGTCTGACATAGGGCCTGGCACAGGGTAAGCACTTAATGGGTGCTTACTTTCATACACAACCATTTAATGATCCCCTGCTCTTCTGCTGGGGAAGGGGCTAGGGATTTGGTGGGGCCTAAAACATGGCTCTTCCTTTCATGGAGTTCACAGCCCAGGGGAGGCCATAGGCAGTTACAGCCCATGAAGGTAACTGCAGGAGTGCAGGAGTACACTGAGGGGGGACATCTTAACTGACTCTGGAGTGTTGGAAGTTTTTGAGAGGAAGTAAGCTGGAACTTGAAGGGTCACTAAGACTTAGTCAAGCAAAGAAAGTGAGGGGGTTTGGCAGCATGCAACTGCTTTGGTGGCAGTAGGAGGGAGTAGCCGTAGGTAAGGGAGGCTGGTAGATGCTGACTTAAGGCAGATGGAGTTCATTGTCAGTCCTCAGATGCAACCTGGACCTGAAGCAGAGATTCCGGTGAGGCATGCCTTGGTAAAGCTCTAGATCAGAACTTCTCGGCAGCAGTACTGTTGAGGTTTTGGGCTGGCTAGTTGTTTGTTGTGTGGGGGCTGTCCTGTGCGTTGTAGAATGTTTAGTAGCATTCCTGGCTTGTGTCCAGTAGATGCCAGTACCACCTTCTGTGACAACCAGAAATGTTCCAGACGTTGCCAAATCTCTCTTGGGGGGCAAAATCATCCCTAGTTGATAGCCCTGGCTCTGGGGTTCTGGACACCCACCACCACCACCACCACCACCACCACCACCACCACTGATTTAAATCTTCTGGCACCTGCTCACTTAGCACTCTCAGCTTACTTGGTGTGCAGGTGGGTGAACACCTGTCTGTTGGTATTGCCTCTCTTCAAATCCTGCCTGGGCTCCTCTCCAAGCTGCTGAGAGGTGATGCTTTCTTTCACTTCCTGGTATGTATCCCAGCCCAGAGGTGATGAGCGGTGAAGCTGCAGATTGGAAAGGAGGAGCTGATGAAAAGAGTGGTTCTCTGTAGATGGGGAGGAGCTCTAGTAATTTTCATCTGACTCAGACTTCAGTTGTTGGTGGCAGTGATGACTACCCGTCCAAGGCAACGTGGCAGGAATTCAGTTTTTTTTTTTTTTTTTAAAAAATTTTATTTATTCAGTTTTTCCCCCCAAAGCCCCAGTAGATAGTTGTATGTCATAGGTTCACATCCTTCTAGTTGCTGTACGTGGGACTCGGCCCCGCGTTGGACGGAGAAGTGGTGCCTCGGGGCGCTCCCGGGATCCGAACCCAGGCCGCCAGCATCAGAGCGCGCGCACTTAACCGCTAAGCCACGGAGCCGGCCCGGGAATTCAGTTTTATATTTGTAGTTGTCAGTGTGGATGTTAGTGTGTGGCAAACATTGACTCAGCAGTGTCCAAACGTGGGCATTTAGAGCAAGGCCTCACAGACCCTTCTGGAAGTGCTTCACTTTGTCCGAACCCAGTTGGCAGTTGTTTTCTTGTTACCTTCCTATGTTGGCCCTAGGTGAGTTTCCTCTTTTTTTTTTTTTTTTTGAATAGTTGTTGTTCATTCATTCAAAGGTCTTTATTTATTTACTTTTTGGTGAGTAAGATTGGCCCTGAGCTAACATCTGTGCCAGTCTTCCTCTATTTTGTATGCGGGTCCCGCCACAACATGGCTGATGACCAGTGGTGTAGGTATGTGCCTGGGAACTGAACTGAACCCCGGGCCACCGAAGCGGAGCACGCAGAACTTAACCACTAGGCCACGGGGCCAGCCCCTGGGTTTCCTCTTAATGGTGTTCTCTAGGGAAATAGATATCTTTTACCTCCTCTTCATATTAGTTCATCCCACATTCCGTCTCCTGTTCCTTGTAGGATGAATGGGTAGATTAAAACAGATTTCAGTTGGATTAATTAGAATAATTACCTCAAGGCTAGTTGCTTACTTGCTGTGACTTTTAATCACTGCTGCATGGTCTGAGGTTGTGGTGGCTACATGCCCAGAGACCCAGGCCTTAGCCACCTGTCTGGAAACGATGTATCGCCCAGCTATGGGACATGCAAAGGTGAGCGTAGCCTGTGACTTCCAGTTAACAGTTGATATTGGCTGGAGTGGGCACCCATGTGAGTTCTGGGCTAAGGGCTGATCTTGTTCAGCTGGTTGAAAGCAAAATTTAGCTTTGTGGCTTAAAATAGTTGGGAAAGTAGGGCAGATAGGTCCTAGGCCACATCTCTTGTGTGGAATCTTCTGATTCCAGGGGAGGAGGAGGAACCTCAGGGTAAAGTCAGGGCTGTACATTCTCAGGAGGAGCTCTGGGCCGAGGGGTTGGCTGGCCTCAGTCCTGCCAGGCCTGACAAGAAGGCACAGAGGGCAACAAAGGCAAGGAAGCTAGCAGGCAAGCCGTGATCTTAATCATGAAGCTCAGAGCAAGCAGGAACTAAATAGGCCGTAAAAAGTTCAGGGCTGGCTGGCCATTTTTGGCTGGGCAGTTGGTGTGCAGCCGTCACTAAGATATGGTCCTGGGAGCATGGGCTCATCTTTGCAGACTTCTTCCAGGGCGGTAGTGGGTATGCATGTGTCCTTTGCTGAGGTCACCAAGGTCCCCAGGATGGATTGGACCTTGTCACCAGGAAACACAGGTGGACTTTTCTTCCTAGCCCTCATTACCTGCTCTACCACCAAAAAAACCAAGAAACAAAAACCAGTGTAGTATAGACACTGAACCTAAGAGTTTGATTGGAGTTCCACTGTCACCACGTTAGCTGTTTGACCTTGGGAAAGTTACTTAACCTCTCTGGGCCTTAGTTTTCCTCTGCAAAATGGGGCTATTGATGCCATAGAGTTGCTATTGAAAATTGAATCTCTTTCACACTGCTGAATGCTTGAAGTTAGGTAAAATGTCTGTGGACATGTATTGCTGGGTGTGCTCAGCTACTCTTTATACCTGAATGTGTATAAAATTGTGACTTGGGCTGGCCCGGTGGCGTAGTGGTTAAGTGCGTGTGCTCCACTTCAGCGGCCCGGGGTTTGCAGGTTTGGATCCTGGGCATGCACTGACGCACTGCTTGTCAAGCCATGCTGTGGCAGCATCCCATATAAAGTAGAGGAAGATGGGCACAGATGTTAGCCCAGGGCCAGTCTTTCTCAGCAAAAAAAGAGGAGGATTGGTGTCGGATGTTACCTCAGGGCTGATCTTCCTCAAAAAAAAAAAAAAAAAAAGAATTGTGACTCTGAGCGGGTTGACTCTCTTCCTTCTGGATTCAGAAAGCCCCAGGACTTCTCATAAAGTTAGGCCATGGGTCTTCTTGGAGGTTCGGGTCTGCTTATAACTTGAGCCTGAGCTCACGATCCTGCCCCACCCTCTGCCCAGGTGGCTGGCCTGCTGCCCCCCCAAAGGCTAAGCTTCTCGGTCCTGTGGGCCTCTCAGTAGTGAGGCATGCTCGTGGGGGCTGCCTGGAGCAGATAGCCTCAGCCAGAGGGAGGCTGTCACCAAGCTGATACCTTGGCCAGGCTCTCCATTTCTGGTTCTGTACTGTCCTGGGCAAGGTACAGGGTAGATGGGGAATGGTGGCCATCTTAGAAATGTGCCATTAACAACTCAGTCTCCAAGACTGTCCTCTAGAGGAGAAGTGTGCAGTCCCGCGCAGTCCCTGATAAATGAGTTTTTCAGATTCCTCATTTAACCTGCACCTTAGCCTCTGAGGAAGGACTTGGTGCGATCTCTGTTTTGCAGATGTAGAAACTGAGGCTTCAAAGCAGTAGAACATTTGAGCTCAACATACGTTTCCTGTAGTGTCCACTGTGTGCAGAGATGAGTTAGGCCTTTGCAGAGCTTTGTCTTTCAGGGAAGAGTTTCCACAAGGCCGAATGTAGTAGTGCAGAGGCATGGGTCGGCAGTGTGGGGGACTGGAGGAAGCTCTCAAGAGTCCCTCTCAGGCATAGGGCTAGTGGACGACAGAGCCAGAGCTGTTGGTCTTGATGCCTGCGGCATGCTGGTCACTGCTGCATAGGGTGGGGGCACTCGATGGGGGCTCAGTCCAGGCAGGGAGCAGACAGGCTGACCAGCATGAGGTATTTCCTCCTCTCCCTTCCTTGTGAAAACGCAAGAGCAGGAGGCACTGGAACTTTTCTTCATGCCAAGGGTAGGGCTGGACTCAGGGCATATTAAGTTTCAAGCTGGCAAACTAGGACTTTCAAACAGTTTCTCTTGTAGCGAGTAGGTTCCTTGGCAGTAAATAACCCTCTGTGGTCTCTGCTGGACACTTTCTGCGGAAGTTTGGCCAGAAAAGCTTCCCTTGGTCGGGACTTGGAGCATCCTGCTCCCAGAGGAGTCTGATACTCTGAGGTGGGGTCAGTAGGCTATGTCACACCTGCCCAGGAGGCTCTAGAAGGGCACTGTTAATGAGTTTGTCAGGTGGAGTTAGTGCCACGGTCATTTCTGTGGACCTGTGCAGTTTTGCCTCTACACTAGTTCTTCTGAGGCCTGGGCTCGGTGCCAGGAACCTGGCATGGCTTGTTCTTTATTCTAGAGCCCTTTGAGGGGTGGGATCAGTTAAGATTTGACAGGTGTCTGGATTTGCTCCAGAATTGCATTAAGGGAAGTGGTTCCTTGTTGGAGATGGGAAGTCACCACCCTTAGTAGTGCCTGTAGCCGTGTCGAACAGATTGGTAATACTTGTTGATAGTAGGGAAGGTTGCCTGCAGCCAGTACTGCAGATTCAGGCCCTAGATATGTGCCTTTGGGGAATTGGACTTAGCTCTTTGGGGAAGTCCTGTGTTTATATGGGACTGCCTTGCAGCCCAGACCCGCACGCCCCACGACGTGGAATAACAAGAGCATGGGAGGAGACCTAGAGCTTCTAGCCCTGAGAATGGGGCCCAGGAGACCTCTGCTGCTGGCAGATCCCTGCAGGAGGGAGCCTGGATCACATCTCCTTGGCAGTGCTGAACCCAAGGCTCTGGCTTGCCCCAGGGTGGTCCAGGGCCCCTCTGGCTTGTGTCAGGCGCTTAGTAAATGGGAGTGGGGTGCCAGGCATCCTGTGTTATCTAACTTGATTCTCACAACAGCCCTGCGGGTAGGCCTCCCACTGCCGCTTTCCAGGGGTGCCAATCACGTAGTCATAGAACTCTGTAATTCTGCCTGGAAGGGAGGAGGCGCTGTCCCACTTTTAAAATCTTAGAGTCATTAGTGGCCACGTAACATATACCTAAGGTATAAAGCATAACAAAATGAACACCCAGGAACGTACTGTTGTCTGTATTACAGATGAAGAAACTGAGGTTTAAGCCCAGCAAGTGACTTAACTAAGGTCACAAAGTTAGTAGATGACAAAGCTCAGCTTCAAACCCAGGTCTCTTCAGCTCTTCCAACCCCCTGTGGCATTTCTCACTGTGGGCCTGCAGATACTAATAGGTGTTATTTGAGAGAAGGTTCTTTGGTCAGTGCTCAGTTCAAGTCAGCAGATTCTTTTGCATAGTAATTCTCGGATCCTTTAACATACTAATGCTTTTTTAAACTCGTCAGTATTTTGCGAATTGCTTTGACTCTGGACGTTTGTCCATGGTTTCTCATGGGACTGGTGTTCACAGAGAAAAGTGAAAAACTCTGGTCTAGGAGCAGCTCTGAGGGGAAATCCCTAAAATAAAGATTCTTTTCTTTACCCCTCCCATGGCCTCAAATTAAATTTCCAAATCAGAGCTGTTTCCCTCTTGGCCTTTTTATTATTTATTCGTTCTTGCATCTAGTTCTTGCCCGCACTTGAGGGGCCTGGCCATCCTGAGGAGTCCTTCTTGGGCCTGCAGTGTTTCTGACAGTTAAGCATGTGTCTTTATAGCTGCCCTTGAGAAGGGAGCTGATTAGCAGCCATGTAGAGGAAGAAGTGTGGTCAAGGGGTGGTCAAGGGAATCCTGAACAGGAGGAGAAGGCCGAGAAGGTACTCACCTCCCAGTAGGCCTGTGGTTGAGTGTGTTTCTGGCTGTGTAGAACTGCCTCAGCTCAGTGGAGGAACTTGGGGTGGGGTTCCTCTTAGATGCCAATTCTCCCGTTGAGGGCATGTGAGGGGCTCAGGAAGCTGAGTTTCTTTCCAGAATTTCAAATCCCAAAGACATTAGCTGTGAAGAGGACAGTCATCTACCCACATTCATTGGTCTGTGAGCGGTTTTAAAAATTATGTAACTTGATGAAAATAAATAGATATTTAAGTGTGATGGAAATTCTTAAAATATCCCAAACACAGCTGTCTTCAAGATTTTGGATCCCCCCAAGTGGTGATTTTGAAAGCTTTTTTTTTTCAAGTAGGCAAATTCTCTTTTTGAACATTGCAGTCTTAGTTCTCTCTGGTGACTCAGTGCTGTCAGCGTCTGCCTTGGCTTCCTCTGTGTGCCAAAGGGTGGGGGAAAGGGAGGGAAGAAGGAGGAGATGCAGTTCTTGTCTTCTCACCAAGGTCTGGCCTGAGTCACTCCAGCTGCCTCCAAGGCCACTAAAGGTGTACCCTCTTGGGGGCCTTTTAAAAGAAAGACTCCTGAACAGGGAGATTCCTGCTTCAGTTTCTGCCTTGAAGGCCCTCCTTTGCCTCATCCCAGGTTTTTCCTTGAGTGGTTTCTGGGCAAAAGTGTCCTGGAGCTTAACATGTTATTTCCCTTCCGTATAGATCCTTGAACATCTCAAATAATGGAGCAGAGGGCAGCTATAAGACCTGAACCATATTTTTGTTTTCTTACGCCCCAGGAACTTTGGTTGTGTGTCTACTCTCCATGCTCACATGCTCTGTGTTTATTTTCAGTGGATATGCTGCTGATGAAATCACTCACTGCATACGGCCTCAGGACATCAAGGAGCGCAGAGCGGTCATCATTCTCAGGAAGTAAGTGCCCTGGTGTCCGGCACCTGCAGGCCTGTCTGGAGATGTAGGTCTGGGTTCCCTTAGAACTTGGCTCCTCTGTAGCAATAGCACGGCAGCGTGAAGCCTGGGAGCGAGGTCTGTTTACTTTTTGATTTTAATTCTGTGAGGATAAGGCTGTTTTGTCTTTTCTTCATCAGAAAATTAAATTCTGTGGCTAACTAGGGAGGTTAGAGCTGAGCAAATGCACATGCTCCTGGTGTTTATGGGCACAGTCTTGAGACAAGATCTGGGGAACACTTTTCCAGACCCCCCTCTTCTTCTCCCTGCCTCCTTGCTTCTGACTTGTCACATGTTCTCTTGCTGATTATTTTTAGACAGTGCCTTAGCAGTCTGCTTTAAAAATCCCTCTATTTTCACTTCTGGGAGGAATAGGGAATGAGGAGAGGAAACGAAGATGGGAGGTTAGGCTGCAGTGTTGTGCAGGCACATGGCTAGTGGCTGTCCCTCCTCTCTGGCCAGGGAGTCGGGGATGTACTGACTAACATCGCCAAACCTGGCCTCACCAGTGCTTCCTTCTTTCTGCCCATGGGTGAATGGACTGAGCCAAGCAGACGCCGGGTCAAGACAAGCCTGTCTTTAGAATGGAGTTCCAGGGGGCTAGGTGGCTGCCCAGGGTTGTATGGATGTCAGTGAGCAGAGCAAGACCAGTCCCGAGACCCAGGCTGGAGCAGGATGTCCTATAGCTTGCCATCTTTTTTTTTTTTTTAATTAAACTTTATTTTTCAGAACAGTTTTAGGATTTCAGAAAATTGTGAAGATAGTACAGAGATTTCCCATGTACCCCACACCCCATTTCCCTTATTAACGCCTTACACTAGTGTGGTACATTTATTACAATTAATGAACCAATAGTGATCTATGATTATAAACTAAAGTCCAGACTTTATTCAGATTTCCTCGGTTTTTTCTAATGTGCTTTTTCTGTCCAGGATCCCACAGTACATTTGGTTGTCTCCTCTTGGCTTTGGCAGTTGCTCAGACTAGCCTCGTTCGTGATAATGCTGACTGGTCAGCTGTTTTGTAGAACGTACGTTTCTCATTGGGACTTTCTGATGTTTTCTCACGGCTAGACTGGAGTTACAGGTCTTGGGGAGGAAGACCACAAAGAAGCACGCTTCTCCTCGTGTCATGTCCGGGCCAAGGACTCATCCCCCTGATGTAGACCTTGAACCCAGGGCTGCGGCCGTGCGTGTCAGGGTCTGCACTGTGAGGTCCCTGTGTCCCTCCCCTGTACGCACTGTCCTCTCAGGAGGGAAGTCGCTTGTGCAGCCCATGTCAGGAGTGGGGAGTTGGGGCTACCGCCTCAAGGAGTGGGTAGCCACACAAATTATTCTGAGTTCTTCTCACAGGAGGTTGTCTCTTCTCCCCCATTTGTGTATTTCTTTATTCAATCATTTACTTATATCAGTATGAACTCTTTGGTAGGTATTTTATGCTCAACTTGTTCCAGCTTTGGCCATTGGGAGCTTTCTCTTTTTTAAAGTACATCCTTACTTTCTGGCTTGCCATCTTTTTAATTTCAGTCGATAACTTTGGCATCTTGGCCACTTGGGCCGAGAACTCTAGAATAATGTGGTGGTGAAGTCTCTTTGGCATGGCTCTGCCACTTTGTCTCGTCAGAACTTTGAGACTCTATTTTATCACCTGTAGAATGGAGGTGATGCAGACCTGCGGGGCAGTCCTGTGGTGCAGGCAGAGCACTAGGCACATTTAGGAGCTCCAGACGGGTCAGCTTGGCAGCTGGCAGCCTCTCTCCTCTAGCCTAAGAATATGCCCAGAATTCATCAGAAGAAAAATTTTTATCTGCCTTTCCACTTTTTTTTCCTGTGGTTCCAGCACAGGTCAAAACCCAGAACCTAGAAGTGATGGAGCCCAGAGTGTAGCACCCTTCTGGCCTCTTTTCCCCAGTCATTTCTTCTCGGGCTGTACCTGGCATCTCCAGCTCCACCTGCCCACCCAGGCTAGGAACCTAGATAGGAGCTCCCAGGGTATATAGTACCAGAGCAACAACTTCCCAGGTCTGCCCTCCAAGCCTCTCCTAGTAGCTTATCCCAGGAAAATCTTCACTGGAGGTGCACATGGAGGTGGCCATAGCCAGTGACAGGTCTCTTCCAGCTGTTTCCTTCCTCTGGAATGGTGGCTCCCATACTTGGCTGCCCAGGCTGGCTGAATCGGATGCTCTTTGGTGGAGCTAGGAGTCTACACTGTTAACCAGCTGCCCCCTGGAAGCTCTTTGGTCACCTGGGCCCCTGGCAGTGGACGCGTCAGAGGAGGACAGTTCAGGCTGATGAGGAGCAGCTCCAGAGTAGCTGTAGAGGCTTGTCTTGGAAAAGAACAAGCTGGTGACAAGATAGAAAGGGGAGCATCCTGGCCCGGGTGCTGCCCAGATATCAGGGATGTGGCCTTGGTGAGTACCTGGCTGACTTCTGGTGAAGCCGGGCCCAGGTGGGTGGAATTTGGGCATTGAGCCTGGTCCTGCTCCTCATGGAGGGGGGTGGGGATAGAGCCAGTCCTGCTGCCTTTTAAGTTCAGGTAAGGATTGCACATGTCGCTGAGGGAGGGCCTGGGGGCTTTGTCATTGCTCAGGTCAGTCAGAGTTGGGTGGTCTTCCTAAGGGCCTCGGGGAGAAACAGGTGGGTGGCTGCCAAGTGCTTTCTGGTTCAACAAAAGGTGGCTCCTTTGAATTTGGGTGGTGCTGAGTCTTCATGCACGTGGTACCATCGTGTCTCACAGGGAGGACTAGGAGGCTGGAAGTAACCTTCTGAGAGCTTCCACAGTAGTGGAATCCTTGGGCTGCAGCTTAGTGTTATAATTTGTTTGGGTCACAACCAGTACATGGCTGAGTGAAGCCTTGAACCTGGGTCTCCCAGTGCTGGGTCTTGTTGTCCCTTGGTGGTTTGCACAGTGGAGCACCCCAAGCCCTGCTCCTGCCCCAGTGTGTCGTTGGGGTGGATTCCATGAGTTTAAGAAACAAGCTCACATAGAGAAGAACTTTCTTGCCTCTGTTATGCAAGTAGAAAGCTGATTGGTGAGAGTGTTTTAAGTGGCAAGGGGGCTACTCTACAGAAAGTGGAGTGAGGCAGCAGCTGCAGGTTGGTCAGCTCCTCAGCATCCTCCGACTTCCCTGAATGTCGCTGTTTCTCAGCCCACCCAGGGCGAGCTGCCCAATATGCCGCTTTGTTAGTTATTGGTACCCCTGGCAGGGAAGCTGGGCCTAACTTTTTTGAAGATGTGGTTAAATTTTTAAATTACTGGTTAGAGAATGAAGAGGCTAACCAACTTCTATGGTGTAGCAATTCGTCAGGGCCGATGGGGGGGGTGGGGAGTGTTCCATTTTTTCCTACAGTTTCCTAATGTGCAACCTTCTGAAGGACCTTGCGTGCTGCCGCATGCCCAGTACCCACCTGTTAGGTGCCAGGCTCTGGAGAGAGTGTTGCCTACACATTAACCCTCAGAGTAGAGGGTGTGAACTCTGTTTGGAAAGAGGCTCAGGTAGGAATTGAGCTGCCTCAGGTCATCTAGCTAGTTTGGAGTGATCTTTGAACAAGGATTCCTAACTTGGAAACAAGCATCTACCATGCACGAAGCACCTGAGGCAGGCATGCAGGAGACTTAGCGCTCCCTTGGTGCTTTGGTATTTAATAGGTTGGCACTTTGCAGGCCAGTACAACGCAAGTAGAGTGACCACTGTCCTAAAAGCACGGTATGTGTCCCCTGGGGCCCAGCAAAAACAAAAAATTACATCCAGCTTGTATCAGTGGGGGAGCAGAATTTAAGGCAAAGACAGGCTTGGTAGATCTGGCTCCTGAGCTAGAAACTGCTGGCCAGGTAGAAATGGTAAGCTCAAAGGCTGGAAAGTGGTAAGTAAGGGGACATCTGTAGTTGAGGGGTGATGGGGGAAGGAGGCCTTGGATCAAAACTTGATTATCAGGAAAAGGCTTGTGGGTCCTCAGGCCTTCCAGTTGATGGCCAGGGCACCTAGTCCCTTGGTCTTCAGGAGGCCCCCAGGGCTGCACCGGCTCTGCCTACAAGACTTTATTCCAGCATGTTAGTCCTCCAGTTAACGACATCAAGTGGCTCAAGGCAGTGTAAGTAGCCCACTTCTTGGTCAAGTGGTGCTCAGCTAAGAGTGAGCAGAAGCTAGGAAAAGCAGCTAGAGATTCATTTGCCAAATGTTAACCAAGGCTAGTGTGTGCTAGGCTCTGTGCTAGTGCCAGGAATGGTTAGTATACTAGTCTCTTCTCATTCCCTTTGTCTTTTGGGGGAAGGCAGACATTTAGCACCTCACTAGGGACTGCGCAAGGAAGGCTTTCCAAAGAAGTGCTACCTGAAGGTGGTCACAGAGGTGTGGGCCTCAGGCATGCATAGAAGAGGCTCAGGGGAAAGCCCATTCAGGCAGAAGAGATGCTCTTTACAGAGGCTCGGAGTCCGGGGACTTGGAGGTAATCTGTTCTGGAATACTGAGTAGAGATGGAGTGGAGCACATGATACGATCTAAGCTAGTCAGAGGACTGCGTGCTGTGCCAGAGAAATCTAGAGGGCCTTGGAGAGCCATGGAGGCGTGTGAGCAGGGGGTGGTGAGGGATTTGCATGGGAGAGAGTGTTTGTAGGAGGCTGAGCTAAATGGCTTATTTGGTCATTCAGCCCAAAGGGTCCCAGGGGTCAGAGGGAGACCATTCCTGAAAGCAGAGCAGCCCAGATGTAGGCTGTGTGTGTGGATGAGTGGAAGGTGAGAATGGAGGGTGTGCTCTAGGCTTTGTCCCTCAGTGGAGTGGGAAGAGTGGCCAGCTCTTGGTTTCCCTGACCCTGGCCAGGCCTGAGATAGTGCCCCCACCGAGACTCTGCCATTACTTCTGTGTCCATGATTCTTGTCCCCTGTGCCAAGGGTTAGCCCACCTTTGTTCCCTGGTCCAGTGAATGTGTGTGTCTACGTGCATACGCCCTGCTCATTTGGCAGCCTGGCCAGCCTGATATGTCCACAACCTGCCCAAGGAATAAGGGGGCAATGAGGGGATGTGACCGGCTTGGGCTCCTGGCCTGGCTCTGCCTCTTCCTCACTGAATAGAGGTCGGTTACCTGATCCCTGTGTTGTCACCTGTAAATTGGGGCACTTGTGGTGCTGGGGATAGTTAAACTCGAGAATGCTGTGTGCGCTTCTCCTAGCCCCATCCTCACCATAGCTCCCCTCTGAGCTTGAGGGGTCAGAGGTAGGGGAGGAGGAAGGCTGTGCTCAGTCGGGGTACAGTGTGAGCAGAGGCACATGGAGTGGGAGGAAAGGGAAACCCAGAGGTGTCTTGTTCAGTGGCCCAGGTGGAGGGAAGGTAAGCTTGGTGTCTGGCCTTCTGGTGTCCTGGAGGATGGTATCTAGACCTTACAGACCTGAGCTGGGGGCATCCCTGGGCACTCGTGATGCTGGCCCTGTTGTCTGGATGGCATCCCTGGAGCCCTGGCTCCTGGAGCCCTGGGTTACACACGTGTGTGTGACGGGTGGTAATCGGGCTGAACGATTTGGAGAGGCTCCCCTTGGGACCTGAGTATCTTGCAGGCTATGTATGGGGGCAGGTCTGCTGGAAGCCCAGGACCATGTGCTTGGGGTGCCCTCTCTTTGGGTGACACCCCTCGTGTGCCTTGTAGGCTCTTGTGACCATAGCAGGCTTCTACACCTGTCTCAGAAGTACCTTGTCGGGGAGCAGGGCAGAAGTTGGAGAGGGTGATGTTGGAGGGAGGTTGATGGGAGGTGGTGCCAGGAGTGGGGGGCGGTGGGTACTGTTGTAGGAGAAACAGTGGCACAGGTCTGTGCTTTGTGGGAGTCTGATACTCAGAAGTGCTGGAGCTTGGACCTAGGGGCCCAGGTTACTTAGTAGACAAGGGGGTGCTCAGCATGCGCGCCACACTGCTCCCTGCCCCCTGGCTCCTTCGCGAAAGCCAGGCTTTGTAGCACAAGGGCTACAAGGGCTTGGTGAGGGTGGAGCCAGAAGTCGAGGGAGTGGTTGGTAGCCGGGCCTGGAGTGCAAACTGGTTCCCCATCTCCTAGAAAGGGTGGTCTGTCCGACAGCACTCTGCCCTGCTGCAGTGGAGAGAGCCCACCTGGGCTTCAGAGGCCACCATGGGGTAGTAGCTGTGTGATTTAGGCCAATGACTTGGTCTCTGAAGTAGCATTGTTTCCCACTCCCACACTGAGAATAATCTTCCCCACAGCTTCTCTGCAGGATTCCATGAATGATGAAGGAACAGGAGGGGAGCACCTGGGACAGAGTCCCTTCTTTCCCCCCAGGTCACATGTTAATGTGTTACATTACTGCTCCGTCATCCTTCCTGTGTTCTGGCTTCCCCTGTACCTAGGCCCAGTCCCTGCTTTGTCCTGGGGGCTGTCCTGACACCCTGGCTGACCTTTCTGGGTATGGTGGTCTGCCTGATTAACCCTCACCTCACATGCCTGGGGTGCCTTGCTGTGACCCTGGGTGTTGACTCAGGTCTATAACACAGGTCTTCGTTCCTGTTGCCACCTGAGGAGGCCCAGGCCCAGACCTTACTGGTAGAACTGGGCTTCCTTATTCCAAACTTGTGGCTCTGTCCACTGAACCCTGAGGGGCCTGGCCTGTTCCCTGGGAGTTGGCTGCCTTTTAAGAGGGGCGTGCTCTGAAGATGAGCTGCTCGTGGGCTCTGGGCTGGGATCTGACTTTAGCCTGGCTTCCCACAGCTGGCTGGAAGTGGAGGGAGAGCAGGAGCTTCTCTGGCTGTTCTGAGGCGTACTTGTAACAGCTCCAAGGGATGCTTCAGGAGCCCTTTTGGACCCCAGAGCTCATATTGTCCCCAAAGTGGGTGCAGGGGGCTGGGTTGCTGGTAGGGCCACCTCGTCATCCCCCATCTGAGGGCTGCCCCCTGATGGCAGCAGAGCTGTTAAGAGGGGGAGGGTGGGGGTGGGGAACAACACCATTCTCTTCCTTTAGGCAGCTGGAGAGAAACAGAGCCAGTCCATGTCCCTAGCCTGTCTGTCCAGTCTCAGCTTGTCCCACCTGTCTCCCCAGCCTCTCCAGAAGTCCTAGACCCGTTGTGAGGGGCCACTACCACTGCCCCGTGGCTGTGGGGCCACACCAGGGCTCAGCGTGTACCAGCTGTACCCGCGTGGAAGGATGTGCTCGTGTTTTCCAGCCCCGGAGGTGTGTAGGCCAAGCTCTCCTCTTGATGGCTCTGCTGTTCTCTTGCCATCTGTCACTCACCCCAGGAAACAACTCCAGGGTGGTAGGCCCTGCCCACCAGGGTTTAATTAGGGCTTTTTGGGGCAAACAGGCTTTCCTGCCCTGAGTGTGTGCTCCCTGGCACACGTGGGGTCTTAATGTTGGACTTAGCTCCATAGTACCAGACGGGGAAGTGTTGGACTTAGCTCTGTGGTTGCCAAACGGGAACTTTCTTCAGTGAGGCTTCAGAGCCTTGGAGTCCTCTGAGTCAAGCTTAATGGCTAATGTCTCATTTGGTCTGATTTCTGCCACCTGGACCTCTCAGTGCAGGGCTATGAGGCCTGGCCTGGTAAAGATGATGTCCTCAGGGCTCAGGTGATTCTAAATACCACCCTCATATCTGAGTGTTGCCCAGCACCAATTCTTCCTGGTGCCCATCTAAAGAATGAAGGAGGTGGACTTGTCTTCAGTTTCTAGACCTTCGGAACTGAAAGAGACCTTAGAGTCAGTTGCATTTCTCCCTCCTTTGCTTAGGTGGGGAAACTGAGGCCCAGAGAGGGATGGTGACTAGGCTGGATTCTGAGTGGCAGCATCAGGGCTGGATCTTTTGCTGCTAGGGCCTGCTTTCCTGAGCTTGGAGTGCCCATAGTGGAGGCTCAGACTAGTGGGCCTGTCTGTGCAGCTGGGCCCCTCTGGCCTCCGTGTCTATGAGGCCAAAGCAAAGGGCCAGGGACCAGTTGCTTCACCTGCCTGCTCACCTGTTTGGGCCTGAGGGCCTCAGAACATTGGTTCCCAGCCAGAAGGCACCCCCTGCTGGCCTCAGTGTAGAGACCCCTTCCTAGGTTTAGAGCCCTGTGGCTCCTGCCTCACCGGCTTAGAGTCTCACCTAGGCTTAAACCTTTCTCCCATGACTTCCAGGACATGTGACTTCCTGCCTTTGACCCAGTTTTCCCTATCTGTTTACAGCAGGCCAGCCAGCAGGGGTGGGGGAGCTGTGAGGACTGGACGTAGTTGTTACCGAGAATGCCAGGCAGCCTGGGCTGTGGCGGCTCTCAGCTTTCCCTCCTGCTCTCTTCCCTCAGCGTTCTTGGAAGGCCGTCCTTTGAGTCCTGCCCCAACTACAGCACCTTCTCTCAGAACCACGTTACTGCATTGTACCCAGCAGCCTATGGGAAAGGTGCCTTCCGCACTTTGGCCAGCTGTGCCCCCATCGCTCCCACCCCCAGCCTCACTCCTGCCCCTTGCAGCCACTGGTCTGACTTGCCAGCACGCTCTGTACTCTGTACACAAGAAACCTTGGGGCTTCTTTGAGGTTTCCCAGGCCAGCTTCCTGCTGACCTGGCTTCATCTAGGACTCAGATCACTGTCTGGACTACCTCCCTGCCCAGCTTCTCTGTCCCCCTCTATACTTGCGTGTTTTCTCTTTACTAGTTGGTGTGTTCCTTGAAACTCACTCCCAGTGCTAGGTGAGGACTTTGCCTTCAAAAGCGCTCTGGCCTTGGCTCGGCCAGCATCCTGGAACGAGCAGAAGCTACCAGGTAGCTGTGGCAGGACCAGAGCCAAGTGTGTGAATGTGGAGTTCGGCTCTTGGCTCTGCACAGCCTCAGTGTCCCTGTGTGAGAGTAGGGACGCTCTTACTCTTTTTCTCTCCAGCCCTTCCACAAGACTGGACCAGGAGAACCTTCCTGTCTTGGTGTTTCAGGCAAGGATGAAGGTGTCTGTTGGAGTATGTTGGTGCCCACCAGTGGGGCCCTCAGTCCTCTGGCAAGTGGAGTAAATGTCTCTGGAGAACCTGAGTGGGGTGAGGTGGGGCTGCCTCGTCCAGCTGAGAGAGAGTCCTGGGATCTTTCTCCTGGGGCAGCAGATCTCTATCATTGGAAGTCTCATAGGGAAGTCTCCAAACAGAAGTATTCCTGTGCCTTACTGCTAAGCTTGAACTTAAGATGGTGGGTCTTTGGAAGTCAGCCAGACCAATCTCTAGTTGAACCGTGAGGAGCCTGAGGCACAGAGCAGAGACTGCTAGCCTCTCCATTCAACCTGGCCAGAGAGAGAATTGGTCCGATGGGGCCAACACCCTCATCAGAGGCTCACTGGTGACCCCATGTGTGTTCTCTTTGCAGGACAAGATTAGATGCGCCCCGGTTGGAAACAAAGTCCCTGAGCAGCTCTGTGTTACCACCCAGCTATGCTTCAGATCGCCTATCGGGAAACAACAGGGACCCCACTCTGAAACCCAAGCGGTCCCACCGCAAAGCAGACCCTGATGCTGCCCATAGGTACTCGACTTAGGACCCTCAACAAAGGCCAGCAAAGTAGCCCCATGGGCTGGCTACAGGGCAGATGGGTGGGGGAGCCTGGCATTGCCCACCTTTCCAAAGCCTTATATCTGGTTCCCCTGGGTTGGTGGCGTTCCCATCTAACCCCTTATCGACTGCCTATCCACACTGAGAGAGGGAGTTGGGCCGAGACCCTGACAAGTGGGAATGCTTCGTGGCTTGTCCGTATCCTCCCTTGTTCAGTCCACCCAGACACACTTTTGTGGTTTATACTTAAATGCTAGGAGATAAGCTTGAGACTTAGAAGATAGTGGACCAGGGACCCATTTGAGGAGGGTTGGGGGAGGTTTCTGAGGAAGTATTGTTTAAGCTGAGACCAGAAGGATGAGGAAGACATGCGGGAAGGGGGTTCTAGACAGGAGGTACTATACGGACTGAAACTCAGGCTGGAAGAGCTTGGTGGTTTCAGGGGCTAGTAGGATTGGTGAGCAGAGGCAGAGTGGGCAGAGAGAGAAAGTGGGAGTAGAGGGGAGGGTTGAGGAGTAGAGGTAGAGGGTGGGATCTTGAGGTTGTGAGAGGGAATGACTCTTTCTGTGTGGCAGCCTTGGCAGTACGGGGCACTGGACTCCAGAGCCAAGCAGACCCCACAGCGTAATTGGGAAATGTCTCAAAGACTAGGAGTGGCCACTAGCACTTAGTGGGCAAGGACAGTCACACCAGTGCTTTCTGCCAGCACTGCCCTTTGTGGAGAAGCACCGAGCTGGAGTGAGCTGTGCCGCATATGAGGGTCAGACCCTGGCGCAGAGGTAGGAGGCCGGGCCCCTTGGCCAGCCTCTCCGGTAATCCCTCATCCCTTTCCTTGCAGGCCTCGGATCCTGGAGATGGACAAGGAAGAGAACCGGCGCTCGGTGCTGCTGCCCACACACCGGCGGAGGGGTAGCTTCAGCTCTGAGAACTACTGGCGCAAGTCCTATGAGTCCGGGGAGGACTGCTCCGAGGCGGCAGGCAGCCCCGCCCGCAAGGTGAAGATGCGGAGGCACTGAGGCCTGCTGCGCCTCCAGGGACTCTGTTAATCCTCATGTAGCTGCCCCCTCCTTCAGTTTCGTTTTGAGGGTTTTTGTTTCCGTTTTTTTTTTTTTTTTTTTCTTTTTGAGCTTTATATTTTTTCCTTGGTTTGTTGCCTGATAAGGCTGAAGAACAGCGTTTGCTGGGACCTGGTTCTTATGTTCTTAGTTTTCCTCCTGGATGGAAAGGCTGTTGGCATCCGCAGGGGACAGAAGCTCATGCTGGAGTGGCCAGTAGAGGCCTGGGGGCAGCTGTCCTCAAGTGGGGCTGTGTCATGCTGGGTTTATTTAAAAGCAACAAAATGTTTTGGTTAAGGAAATTCTTGTTTTGCTTTAAATGTAAATCTTCTCAGTGTTGTGAATGAAGTTCAGTCTCCTGTCCCCCCTCCGCCCACTGATGTCTGGGTTGAGGTCTTCTGGGCCTTGCCCGCTCCACAGGGGCCTGCTGTCCTCCCACCTCTCACCTGCTCTCCAGGCCCTGGAAGCTCACGCAAACGCCCTCTTACTCCTGCAGCAGTCATTCAGGATGACCAGGCAGGGGCTTACATAGTGCCAGCCCCTGCACCCCAGAGCTATTGGCTGAGCCCCCGGGCTTCCTTCACGCCCGCTGGCCTGCTCTGCCCATGGGTCGGTCCCAGGGCAGCTGAGGGGCTGGCTGCAGTGGTCCTGACCTCTCTTGCCAGGAGCATGCCTCTTGGCTGGGTTGCTCCCTTCAAGCATATGCGTGTGATTGTATGGAACAGTTAGACTTGCCATGTTGGGGCAGTTTTAGAAATTGTTTCTAGCTAGAGGGACTGGCGTCCTTCCCAGTCTAGCATTTGGGGTATGGAAAATTGTTGTGGTGTGTGGTAGGGTTTCTGTTTTCTTTTGTTTCGAGTTTATTTTTTCCTTGGGTCTCCTGGCTTTTTCCTTTCCCTTTCCTTTCTCCTACCCTGGCCAGCTTGGGCCTTCTTCTTACGTCATCCCCATAGGAAGGTGTGTGCTGCCTCTGTCCACCTGCAGCATGCATCTAAGGCCACAGCTCAGGCTTGCAAACTGGGTTGGTGCCTCCTCAGCCTTAGGGGTGTGGGAGCTGAGGAAGGGGCTTTTAAAAAATAATAATAAAAGGAAAGAAAAAGGTAAACTCTTTGGCAATTTCCACCTACTCAGATCCTCAAAGGCTGCAAGGTTTTGCTGATCTAGGTTCGTTAGAAATGTCTCCTTGCCAGCCAGGGCCAAGACCCCGGCCTGCTGAGAGTAGAGACCCTCCCAGTCCCCAGGCTGCCATCACCCCCGGGGGCCTTGTCTTACAGAGGCCCAGGCCTGAGGCTGCAGAAGTCGGGGGCAGTCACCATCGAGGAGCCCCTCTCAGGGGCCAGAACTCCTTTGCCAGCGTGGACTCCTCACGTCGGGACTGCATAACTAAAGCAGTTGCAGTTTTTTTTTTTTTTACAGCTTTTTTCCCAAAAATGATTTGTAGTTGTGTGTGCAGCACTTTGCCCTGATATGTGTGCTCTACAATAAAAACCAAATCTAATATATTTTGAAACAGTTGTCTGATGCTGTCGTAAGAGAGGGCTTGCCTTTGGTGCTTCTTCCTTGATCCTTTTATTTTCTCCTTAAACTCTGAATGGGGCAGGGGGCAGGAGGCAGAGCTCATTGCCCACCAGAGCCCCAGAGGAGTCGCTGACCTGGAGTTGAAAGCTGAAGGTAGACTTGCCTACTGCTGTCTCTCCCACTCCCAGGAGGATGGATTTCTCAAAGTGAGTGTCCAGGTGCCCAGGGTGCTATGGGCCCACAGGGGCCAGGATCACACCCTGCTGAGTTCTGGAAGCCCCTCTTCTGGGGGCGATCAGAGAGGCTGCATGCCAGTGAAGGAGGGACAGCCTGAGCAAAGGCAGGAGGAAGGCCTTTGTAGAAGATAGGCAAGTGGTTTTGCTCATTAAACAAATTCTTGAGTTCCTACTATATGCTGGCCAAGCTGTCAGTGTGGCCCCAATAGTGAACAAAACTCTTCTGGTCTCTGCTTTTGAAGATGTGTACAATAGAGTTGTGGGATTTGGATCCAGGCATGAGGCAGAAGTTTTGGGGTGGAGTAGGATTGGGAGGGTTTTAGTCCCTCCAGATCCCGGACCTGGCTGCCAGGTTCTAGTCAAGGGCTTTGGTCTCGCATCTCCTTCATTTGCTTCCAGTACCCGGAACAAGTCTGCTTGGCCAAATTCTTGCTGTGGAAACCTGGCAAGCCCCTGACCTGCCTGTTTAACAGAGGAGAAGAGCGAGTCCAGAGGGAGCAAGTGGCCAGCCCAGGCTCAGTCCTGTACATTGGTGACAGGATATGAAGAGGGGGCCAGAGCCTCCCTGTGGTCTGTGCCCAGTTGGGCGTGCAGGGGGAGCCACTGGGCCGGGCAGACCGGGCCTGGATGCCTCAGAGGGGACACGTTGGAGCTGAGAGGGAACATGGCTTGCCAGAGATCATCCTGACTGTACATGGCATAGGTGGGCACCCCCACCCTAGGCCTGGGCCCCTGACACTGGGAGCATGGGATGGGGTCACATGTGGAGGGACTCTTCTGTAGCTGTGACAAAGCCAGACTCAGGCTTTTCCTAGTCCCTGGGCGAAAGAGGCCCTTCGCCCTGCAGGATTGAGGGACAAGAGAAGCTAGAGGAAGGGGCTCCAGCCCCGGCAGGTCCTGCTGTGTCACTGGCTTCAGTCTCTGCACTTATACAGTGGCTCCAAAGCACCCCATCTCTGGGACTGTGATAATCCTCTGAGCAGTCCCCACGCCAGTGGGGGCCTTAAGGGAATGTGGGGGTCCCATACCTGATCCCTGAATCTGACTGTTGCCAGTCATCTCCTGGGGCACCAACTGTTTGGGCCAGGTGCTGAGTACCATCAGTTTCTACCCCAGCCCAGTCTTGCACACAGTAGGTGCTCTAATAACATCTGTACCAGACCTGCCCACCTGAGGAGCCCATCCCATTCCTCCAAACGTGTTGTGTGGTGGGGGAAACTGAGGCCCAAAGTCATGTTCATTCATTCAAAAAATATGAGTGCCCTACTATTGTGCCAAGCTCTGTGCTGGGTGCTGAGGATACAAGACAGACCTGGTATATGTCACATACACACATACATGTAAAGTTATTATAAACTGTACTGATATAAAAGATGTGTAGCACATAAATTGCAAGTAATAAAATATACAATATTCTTTATTATAAATTCTGTATAGCCAATTGTTTCTCACAGAATGCTTTTGTTGATTTTTTTTTTTGCTTAGTTCTTGTGTTTGTAGCCTACTGTGGTTGTAATTCAGCCATGATATGGCAAATGGAGTTGCATCCCATCTGCTTGTGTTAGTTTCCTAGGCTGCTATAACAAATTATCACGAACTTGGTGGCTTAAAACAAGAGAAATTTATTTTCTCACAGTTCTGGGAGGTCAGAAATCCAAAATCAGTATCACTGGGCTGAAATCACAGTGTGGGCAGGGCCATGTTCCTTCTGGAGGCTCTAGTCCTTGCCTCTGACAACTGGGGGCTGTTGACATTCCTTGACGTGTGGCCACACAACTCCTGTCTCTGCCTCTGTGGTTCCCTGGCCACCTCTTCTGTGTGTCTCCTGCCTCACTCTCATTAGGACACTCGTGATTGGATTTAGGGCCCACCTGGATAATCAGAAATAATCTCCCCATGTAAAGATCTTTAATCATATCTGCAAGGTAAAAAAAAAAAGGAAAAAATTTTACAAGTTCCAGGGATTAGGACCTGATATATTTGGGAGCCACTGTTCAGCCTACCACACTCCTCTTTTCCCAATAAATTTATTGTCATTAAATCTGATACATGGCCTACTGATTTCTCATTATTGAACAAATTATGTTAATTGGATTGGAATTTCTCAGCACTACTTTTAAATTTAATCTGCATCATTAATATTTTCTCCATCGATTTCTTAAATCTAGACCTGTGCTGTCCAATATGGCAGCCGCTGGACAATTCAGCTGCTGAGCACTGAAATGTGGCTAGTTTGAATTGAGATGTGCTTTAAGTATAAAATACACGTTAGAATTTGAAGAGTTAGTATAAAAAAGAATGTAAAATTTATCATTAGTTACTTTATATTGATTACATGTTGAAATGATAATATTTTGGACATACTGGGTTAAATAAAATATGCTATTTAAATTTCACCTGTTTCCTGTTACTGTTTTAAATCTGGCTACTTGAGAATTTAAAAGTACATGTGTGGCTTGCATTATATTTCTATTGGATGGCACTGGTCTAGAAAATCAACCAAAAATCAAGCCTGATTTGTGGTGTTTGCCAGTTTCCATGGTGTAAAGACTCCCATCGTGGCTGATTTTAAGCAGTCAACCTAAGGTCACTGAGCATGGAATTGTGAAGAGATGTGCAGAAGCACACCATTATGTAGTGTTTCCACCACACAAATACAGTAGATGTAATTAAAGACCACAGACAGTAGTAAAATAAAGTGCTTAGTTTTGAACATTACCTTTATTTTTAACAATTTTAATTTTATATAATTTAATTTTTAATAATGTCTGTGTTTGACAACTGACTCATAAAAATTCTTAAAATTTGACAGTTGGCTCTTGTGAGTGGCTTCCCATGGGAGGGTTTTGAGCAGAGGAGGACGTGCTCAGACTTAGGATCCCTTGGGCTGCTGTGTTGAGGACAGTCAAAATCAATAAGGTGATTGTGCATTGGTGAGAGATTCAGGGGCTCCAAACAGGGGTTGGGGCTCCAGGCCAGGTGGGGTTGGAGCCATTGGGTGGTGTGGGGGCTGGGGTGCTCAGGCCGGGTGTCAGGGTGCTCACTGGTGCAGTTCCCCCTGTGCCCACAGTGCGGCAGCAGAGTCCAAGACGGTGCTTCAGAGTGGGGCAGGGGACCGCTGTCTCGGTTTGGATGGGGAACTGAGGCCCCAGACACAAGCACTTAGGCTCCCCTCTGCTTCTGCCCCGCTCAGCCAAGGCCCCCAGGCTTAGTGGGTGTGCAGAGGAGCCCTAGCTCACGGGGGCATCCTCCCCTATGAGTCTTTGCACATGCCAGTGCCATTTGCCTTAGGGGGCTCCTGCTGGAAGCCACTTTCTCTGGCCTCCAGCCATTCTCCTCAGGGCTGCCTCTGGGCTTCCCAGACCCCTGGCTTCCCTCAGCACAGCCCAGAGTGTACTACGTGGTCCCAGTGCTTCCACTGCAGGCTGGGAGACTAGGACTTAACTCCTGCCCTCTCCTGGACTCTCGTTGTGAGTGAGGCCCTTTACAAATTGTCTCATTTAATTCTCTCCACAACCTCTAATAGCTCACTTCCTGGGCTCAAATCCTGTCTCTGCCATGTACTAGCTGTGTGACTTTGGGCAAATTACTTAACCTCTCTGACCTTGGTTTCTTCCTAGGATTAACGGAATGACTATAGTGCCTGGCACAGAGTAACTGCTCAGTGTTAATAAATGGTAGCAATTAGTATGCGCCCCAATTTTGCAGGTGAGTAAACTGAGGGCCAGAAAGATGAAGTGGCAGAGGCAGGATTAGAACTTGGGGCCACAGAGAGGAATGAATCACAGAACTCCACTTTCCAGCAGGCCTGTGACAGTGTCCACCTGCCTGCCCCTTGGAGCCTCAAACCTGACACTCGCTGCACCTGAATCCCTAGGTCCTGTGGCCCAGCACGAGCCGAGAACAGTACAGCTCAGGATGCAGGCTCAGGGCAAGCGTCAGGGCTGCGTCCTGCACCCGGAGAAGAGCACTGGGCTGGAGGTCCAGAAACCCGTGTATCATCCCCCATGTGGCCCTGGGCAGGTCACGTCTCGCTGAGCCTCAGTTTCCTCCCTTGTGAAATGAAGCCAGGCCTGGTCTGCCCCACCACTCCCCTACCTGTCTGGCCTGTCATTGAGGCCTAGCACACTGTTCCCTCTCTGGGGTCTGAAGGCCCCCGAGCCACTGCCCCTCCCCTTTCTGGGCCCTAAAAGACACCCTTAGAGCCAGCTTCACTTTGCACACCCTGCAGGATGAGGTGCTCACTCCTCCCTGGCTTGGGCTCCCCAGTGGTCTCCCTGTCAGACCCCAACCCTGCTTTCTCCCTCTTCCCCTCCTACCCCAGGCCCCGCCCACCCCCGCCCCCAGCCCAGACTCCACTCCAGGAATCCTAGAGCCTGCCAGGCCCCTGGGGGAGCCTCCAGGAAGAAGCTGCGTGTGTGGTTTGGGCAGCAGAAGAGGCTCGTGGCCTCAGCAGGGATCTGGGCCAGCTCCTGGAAGGCAGGGCCCGCCTCCCTGAGCCGGGCTCTCCTGGTTCTCCTCCCACTCCCTCAGCTGCCCTGCCTCTGCCTCCACCTGGGGCTTTCCCGTCACCCCTTCTTCCCCCCGTCCCTCCACAGGTGGCCATGGGCAAGGCCCTTCTCGACCCTTCCACATACTGTCTGTAGGGTGGACTCGTCCCTGTCCCACCTCCAGCGTCACTGCAAGCATCCGAGCAGAGAGAGCACAGATCCAGCGTTTACCAGGGCACCTGCCTCTGAAGATGCCCTTGAGCCTG